ACAAAATCTCAGCACGAATACAGAAGGCTCGACTAGATTTTGCCAACCAGATGTCCGTCTATCAACTGAAGAATGGGTTAATTGCACAGCAGTTTGTTTCGTCGTACTTTATGGCAGTGAAGCATAGCCGGTAAGAGTAGAGGATATTCGTAGGATACTAGTATTCGATCATAGGTGTCTTCGAAGCGTTGCTCGTATATCCAGGGACCATCGGATAAGTAACGCAGTTGTTGAGAAATAGATACTAGGTAAGGATGGCAAATAAATTGATAACGTAGTGAAACTTCATCAGTTGAGATGGCTGAGACATGTGTTACGTATACCCAACCAACGACTGCCCCGATGTGCGATGTTTTATAGTGTATAAGTAGGTTGGAAGAAAGCTAGGGGTGGTCAGATCAAAACATGGCACAAATCCATCAAGTCATTGACAAGTGGACTGAGGCATGTTGGTAGGCAGGTGTAGACTACGTGGTTGGGATCCGCGAGACGGTAGCAACCGATGGTTAAGGACCTTGAAAGTGACGGCTAAAAATTGTTTTGAATGTCTCAGATGCATCCACCCTATGTATTCACCCAAATTCTAATCTTCTGAATTATTCATGTCCCCTATTGTTTCTCTTTCCGAATTTATTTCACTGGATTATACTCCTTGAATAACATTTTCGAACCCTAGTGTTTCTGGTTACTGCTTATATTTTTACTAGCTCTACCACTATAGGATTTCAACAGTTCTTACTTTATCGTTATGTTTAAGTTGAACCATTTACTTAAGTTATGAAGTAGTACATAATAAATGTCATAGTTTAAAAAATATCCTCTCATTAGTTTTATCATTTCTAGAATAAAATATTTAGGATATATACATATATTTTCCCTAGTAAATCTCACAAATGTTTTCCCAAAGTAATAGATGGATGGTGAGCAGATAGACGTAGTCGAGAAGTTCGTGTATTTGGGTAGCTGCATAAGTGCTGGTGGGGGTGTGAGTGGTGAGATCAATGCACGTATAGTGAAAGCCAGAGCGGCTTATGCCAATCTGGGCAACCTTTGGCGCCTTCGTGATGTTAGTCTGGCTGTAAAAGTTCGGATCTACAACGCGTCGGTGAGAGCAGTTTTTCTCTATGCTTGTGAAACCTGGCCTTTCAGAGTTGAGAACGTTAGACGACTCTCTGTGTTCGATCATCGCTGTCTCCGAAGGATCGCTGACATTCAGTGGCAACACCATGTTAGTAATGCACAGGTTCGGCATCGTGTGTTCGGGCACAGAGATGATAATTCAATTGGTGTCACCATCTTGAAACACCGACTTCGGTGGCTTGGACATGTTCTACGAATGTCGTCCCAGAAAATTCCACGTCGTGCATTATTTGGCGACTCTGGGACTGGTTGGAAAAAGCGGAGAGGTGGTCAGTGCATCACATGGTGTCGTGGTATGAAAGAAAGCTGCAAAGGACTGGCTTCTGTCGGTCCTTCACGACTCCCTGGTTGGGGTCTGAGAGATGGTGCTACACAGTGGCTAGAGACATTATCAGATATGGCTCAGAATAGAAGCCAGTGGCGATCCTGCTGTAACCTTCTTTTACTTTCTTCATAAAAAGTGGTTGTGTTTCCCTTACCCGAAAGATCTCTTCTGATTGTACCTTTCCGTTCCCTCGTTAGTACCACACTACCTTACACCAATCTCTTCGTTAGCGTTCTCTTTTTCTTTCGCACTCCTCAGTTTTTTTTTCTATCTCTCTTCGACTTTTCATTGTTTTGTGTGGCGCATATATATTGGCGCTCTCTTGTACCACTATTTATGTGTTCAAATAAAATAATAAAATAATAAAAATAGTTAACTATTTATAAAACTTAGTGTCCTATATGATCAATATGCTACTATTTCTTTTATGAGGGACATAGAAAATAATGTTGGAAGTATTCACTGTAATTGAGGAATGTTACAGCAGAAATTAACTCATAGCCTTAATCTATGTGTAGTTTTTGTAATATTAACTCCATAATATTCAGAGCTTACCAACAGCACCAAAAACTTGTGAGGCAAGGGATGGTGTGTTATCTTGGAATCAATATTTGTTTAATATTCCCTCTGCTTTAGGTGAGGTAGTATGTGTGGAGATGGTAATTTTTTAGGAATCGCTTACTGCTGCCACATCCCACTATATATGGTGTGATGAATATTATCTCGGACTTCCAATATATTATTTTCACTTTCATTTCTCTTAAAATTACTCGCTTAGCGAGATCTAACCTTAAGAAAATAATTGTTTGATCCAATATAACTCGATTAATTTGTCATTCTAAGGAACCACAATCATCTCGTTAAGATGGCGTCTAATGTTCAATATTGGCTGAAGAAATTTTTCAGTTGATCAAATAGTACACAACAATGATTAGTCTCTAAGTCTATTTTCAACCGGTGGGTTATGTACGTATATTACTAATTATAACGATTTGGTTTTTTTTTTTTGTAATTTTAATCTACGAAAATGAACTGATTACACATAATCATTTAACAAGTATTGGCTTTCATAACTCAGTAGCCTGTGATGGTTTCTGGATTTGAGCTCAGTTATAAACATGGACTGATTAACTACAATTGAAAATATAATCGTTAATTTGTGTATTTAACTTTTCATTGATTTATTAGAATTCGACATGATAGATAGTTATACTCACCCACAAACAACAGACTTAATTCATAATCAGTCATAGATAATATTTATAAAAACTAATAAATATATTTATTTTATTAGTTGACACTGTAGTATTTTCATAATTGAATTCACGAACCAATTTAAGCTAGACCATCACTGAAAACTTACAAGTACTGGATGGTCGTTTCGTCTCAGTATGGGATTCATCAGCAATGCGGATCCACAATTCCCCACACGGGAATCCAACTCAAAACCTTTGGTTTCACGTGCGAATACTTAACTTTTAAACCACTGAACCGACATTTATTTATTTTATTATTGTTAGCTTTATTCAATATTATAGTTTTCGGTGGTAAAATATGAAATTCTCAGCACAATGTATTTCAACAAGTTTCCTTTTTTTTACTTCTTGGTCAATACTGACGATAAATATTAAGTGGTTTTTAGTTAGATGTTAGCAATCTAGTAAACCGACATCGTAATAATATACATTTTTTTCGCTGTATATTGCCAGCAACCATGGTATCTCTGATTAGGCTTTTTTCAACTTGTCCAACGAAAGGTTGTACACTTTTCAGAAATCCACCTGAATAGGTTATGGGATTAATAGAAAATAATGATGTATTAAGACAAACAAAATTAGATACTTTCTTGAAATATCTAGATGGCAGGATTATTTATTTATTTAAACACATAAATATTAGTACAAAGGGGCACCGAATACATGTGCGCCACACAAGTCACTTGATTTGTGTGTAAGCTGTGATACTAACGGTTGCCCAAACCGAACAACGTGTTTTTTCTAAGGGGCCACACCCCGAGCCTTTGTTCTTAAGGTTTAATCCACATGACAGTGGAGGAACGCCAGGAGATGCAGTCCCATGGTAGCTGGTCACCAACAATTGGTTCACACGCCATTTATTCCTTCAGGATACTGGAGTTCATTGATTTTGAATCAGGGTTTCCTAACTCTCCTATGTGAACCCTCCATATCCCCCAACCTGGTCAAAGCTCAGAACATTCACTTTTTGTCCTCTCACTTTCGTAAACAGCACCCGTGGTTCGGGAAGTCAGTGCGTAGGACTTCCCCTATCAGTGGTTGTGTACGCATGGCTATATGAGACCCATTTAGAAGGAGAGTGACTCTTCTCACTGTCAGCCGTACCAGATGTTCAAACAAGCCACCAAGCTAAAATTAATGTTAATGTCTAACATCAATGGATCCATGATCTTGCGCAACCTTTCATCTACTGTCTGAAGTAGATAATTGTCTCACATCAAACATTGATTGATTTTCACTAATCATGGCTTTTCATTAGAACTCTTGGAAATTCATCTTCAAATTAGTCACTAGTAGACACATAATTATTATCAGTATATGAATTTGTGAAGAGTATTGTAATGTTTTCATGAGTACTTCTAGATTATCAATGATGATCTAGTTTAAATTGACTCAAACCTAAATATTCTTGATTACTGCTTATACTCTTACTATCTTTACCACGATGGGATTTGCATCAATAATTGTATTTCTGTGCGAATGTAGTATGACAACTCGAACTGATATTGGCGTGTTATTTTTAGCGAGTTAGATTTCTATGGGATGTGGTCGCTAACCCCTATACCCAACTCTCCTCCTTTACTCGGGTTTAGGACTGGCAGTAACTGCAAAAGTTACAGGTGGAGTTAAACTGATGTACATACGTACAATGTTCTACGTTGTTGACTGACTTATTATTATTTTATTATTTTTACCATATAGATATTGGTACAAGGAGGCACCAAATACATATGTGCCACACAAATCTCATTCGATATATGTGAGGGCTGTGATACTGCTCGGGTGCCCAAACCGAAGCAGATGGTTTTCTTAGGGGGCCACACCCGGAGCCTTCGACCTAAAGGTCTGATCCACGAGGCAGTGGAGCACCGTAAGGAGATGCAGTCCCATGGAAGCCGGTGACCAACGATTGGTTCATTCGCCATTTGTTCCCTCAGGATACTGGAGCCCATGTGCACCATTGATTTGGTTTGGGGTCCGGTTAAAGCGCCGGACATTCGGTTTTCGTCTTCTCATTTTCGTAAACAATACCCGTGGTGAGAGAAGGCAGTGAGTAGGACTTTCTTGGCAGAGTCTATATACGCGTGGCCATGTAAGAGCATTTAGAGAGGGAGAACGGACTTTCCCGATTCTCGGCCGTACCAGAGCATTTGGAGGCTGTTGACTGACTGACTTAAATTAAATTGACTTATAAATCAAACTATTTATAACCAAGTATTATTTACTTTAATTATATCATATTATATCATAATCAATTATTTACTTGAATTTCTGAATAGACTCATCATCCACAATATATAGAAATTATAACTCAATTAAATGATAAAAATTCATATTTAATTATTTATCAATCTAAATCTAAATGGAAATATAAATTTAATTCGAATACTACTAATTGGATTATTCAAAAATTTTTATTACATCAATTTAATGAAAATAAACAAACTAATCAAAATGGAATAGATTCAACAGGACCAACAACAACAAGACCAACGAATATACCATCCAATACTACTACTCATACTAATATTAGGACTACTAACACTAATACTGCTACTACTGTCAATACTAACACTAATACTACTACTAATACCATTACTAATACTAACACTACTATCAATAGTAATAGTAATATTAATACTACTAATACTAACACTAATACTACTACTACTGTCAATACTAACACTAATACTACTACTAATAGTAATAGTAATACTACTAATACTAATACCAGTACTACTACTACTAATACTATTTCATTGAATTTAATTAATGATTATTTAAATGATAATGATTATATAAAACAAAAAACGAATTCAATTATTGAATCATTAAATGATTTATTTTATGCAACAATATTATATAGAAATAATAAATCAAATTATAATTTATCATTTAAATTATCTAAAACCAAATTCAAATGGTTACATAATTATTCACAAAAATCAATGAATTATATTCATCATTCATTATCATCATCATTATCAACAGGATCATCTTGTCATTCTGTAAATAATTCTTCATCAGTAAGTTATGAAAACTTGTAATATGTTGTGTTTTGTCTTTGAAAAAATGTTAAATTAATTATTTATCCCTTTCTCCGCCAAATGCTCTGGCATGGCTGAGAGTAGAGAGAGAGAGTTAACTCTCCCTTTCGAAATGCTCTTATATAGCCACATGTATACAACCACTGACAGCGAATTCCTACTCATTACTTTCTCTCCATTGCGGTATTAGTTACGAAATTGAACGAATCATAAGCCAATGTCCAGCGCTTTAACTGGGTTAGTGGATATGGAGGATCCACCTAGGGGAGTTGAAAAATCCTCATTCCACATAGTCTGGCTCCAAAACTCTAAGGAAACAAATGGCGTATGAACTAATTATTGTTCACTGGTTACCATGAAACTGCATCTCTTGACGTTGCGTCATTACCTTGTGGATTAAACTTTTAGATCAAGAACTCAGGGTGTGACCCCCTTAGAAAACCACCTGCTTCGGTTTGCACACCCGAGTAGTATCTCAGCCCTCACACAAATCGAATGATTTATGTGGCGCATATATGTTTGGTACCTCCTTGTACCAATATTTATATGTTTAAATAAAAGAATGTAAATTTATCCCATCTATTATGTCATATGGATCTATATGTTGGGTTTTGAGGTGTATTATCGAATTAACGGAAACAAATTGCTTTTCAAGTGTTATCTATTGTGGATATTATAGTAATTTTTGATAGTTGAAATCATGAATCAATTGAAGCTAGACCACCCTGGAAAACCTGGATGTCCTGGATGGCTGTTTCGTCCTATTGTAAGACTCTTCAGCTTCAATTTACTCATGATCTAAACTATTGAATTTACTATAATATCCACAAAACCACTTCTGATAGTAATCAACATATGCTCACTAGTGACTGTATTCAAGAGGTATTTCCTGGAGTTCTAGTGAGAAGACGTGATCAGTGGGATTCAATTGGGTCTGTTGTGAGATAGTAACTCATTGAAGACAATAATGGACGTATCGGCAAATCTAAGCAATCTTTCTAAACCCAACTTAACTGATCAAATAAAACTTTCTTATCCATATTAAATTTTCATTTCACTAATAAATAGTTCATTATTCTTTTTACTAATTTGTCTTATTATTCTTTTTCTTTAAAAAAAAATATACTACTAGTCATTTAAAAAATCCTACAAAAGCAAATCATGTAAATTAATTCATTCTAATTCACAATCAATTGATTCAACTGTATCTATGATTTCTAATTTATGTATATCTAATGAGTTGAATACAAGTCAACAAATGTGTACAAAGAATCAACCTAAATATACTACTACTACTACTACTACTACTACTAATAGTAATAATAATAATAATAATGTTGTCAATGATACATCAAATATTCTACTTGGTTTATTTTTGGAATCAGGAAAACATTTTATATTTGAATTTAATACAATACATGAAAGAAATTTATGCTTAGCATCATTAAATAAAATTATTACTATGAATAAACAAATGAATGCTTATCCAGATATTGGTAAGTTGGTCCATCCCCCCCCACACACACACACTTTCTTTTTTATTTTTGGTTTCTTTTAATGTTAATTGTTGTTATAACTTGTGACCAACGATTAGAGAACAGTGATTTATCGATCGGATCAATGACGCGTAAAATACGTGCGAGCAGCCTCTATAGTCCTGATTGGTCCTGCTTCCCACCTAACCCAGCCAGTTAAGTTCAGAACACTAATTCTAGCCTCTGCGATATGAATCATTATATTTCAAACATACTGACTTTATATACCAATCAAACAGACCACATCATACCAATAAAATAGGAAACAACATTTGTACAATAATTAGCCAAATGTGGCTGTGAATATGGGAGGCAGTGACTAATAGACAGGGCATAATTCAAGAATGGTAAAACGTATAATAATGGTTCATAGGTCAAAACAAAGTTTATAATAAGAGAAATGTGATTATGAATAGTTTAGTTATATAACAAATATACGATAAAAATATACACACAGTATCGGTCCATAAATGGATCGCCAAGTTACCATTCATTATACTTTTTGGGACATAACAATTGGTTAAATACTTTTGTTGTTGTTCTTGTTGTTGAAAACCAAACAAACATTAATATTCAGTATAGTGTTAAATCCCGATGAGAATAATAAGTGGTAACTATCGGGATCTGTTTATAGATTAGTACTATGCATATATTCTCTTATGATGTAATTGTCAAGCAACGAAACTATGTATATTCTTTTTGTTCAGTTCAGAAGAAGAAAACAGAGCAGCTCAAAGCGACTCCCACATTATACGACCATTCCATGTATCCAAATTAATGGTCGTTCTTGTTATCAGAAGGGGGCATCAGCCTCATTACTTTCGAAGGAAGTCAGCTTTCACCATTAGGCGTCATAGATCTTCTAAATGAAGACCTTCTAACTCTGAGGACAAATTTTAAATGGTTTGAATTATTTTTTGAGGTTAGCATTTATTTAGCGAGTTAGTTTTCTACGGGGTGGGATGGCTACCCCTATGCTCAACCCTCCTCCTTTGTCTGGGCTTGGGATTGACAGTAGCCCCATAGGGGCTCTAAGTGGAGTTTTTTCTGGACTGTTAGTATACGCATATTTTTATCGTATAATTGTTAAGTAACTAAACTATGCATATTCACATTCCTTTTATTATAAACTTTGTTTTGACCTATGAACCATAATTATACGTTTTACCATTCTTGAATTAAGCCCTGACTATTAGTCACTGTCTTCCACATTCACAGCCACATTTGGCTAATTATTGTACAATAGTGTTTTCTATATAATGGTACGTTGTGGTCTGCTTGATTGGTATATTATTATTATTATTATTATTATTATTATTATTATTATTATTATTATTATTATTATTATTATTATTATTATTATTATTATTATTAGCTTTATTCAATATTATATTTTTGGTACAATATAGAATTCTCAGCACAAAGTATTTCAACAGGTTTCCATTTCTTTCTTCCTGGTCGGTCCTGGCGATAAATATTGAGTGATCGCCAGTTAGATGTTAACAGTCCAGTAAATGAACATCTGAATAATATACATTTTTTTCGTTGTATATTGCCAGCAACCACATTCTCTCTTATTGAGCTTTTTGTAACTGACAACGAAAGGTTGTACACTTTTTAGAAACACGACAGAATAGGCTATGCGATTAATAGACATAATGATATATTAAAACAAACAGAAATAGATAACTTGTTGAAATATTTAGATGGCAGGAACAGGTAGCCCAGATGCTCAAGCAGTATGTTTGAAATAAATGATTCATATTGCAGAGGCTGAGATTGGTGTTCTGAACTTAACAGGCAGTGTTAGGCAGGAAGCAGGACCGGTAAAGACTCGAGACTGCTCATACGGGTTTTACGAGTCATTGGTCCGGTAGATAATTCACTGTTCTCTAATTGGTGGTATCATTATGTTATACATGAACAGGACACAAGCCAGAAGTTATAACATATAGTTTTAATGGAATCCAATCAGATATATTTCGTCTTATTCAAGCATTTGTAGCGAATTGTGAAACATTCGACCGATAAAGCTAAAATAGTGTAGGATATGTATCCTTTGGGTTCCATTGTTATATTCCAAATGTATCAAAAACGTTTAAGAGAATATGATAGTGAGGCATCGGTCTAGAATGGATGTATGAAAACGATTCTTATCAATTACTGTCCTAAATATAAACAAAAGGAAATTACAAGCCTTATTGGAATACACAATCGCTGTTCTACTTAATTGTCAATTGTTTATTAAAAATTACTGACAATCAGACTGAATTATAATTGATATATTCTTCCCTCGGAATGGAATTAATCGGTGAATACATTGATTTTTTGTTGTTGAGATCATGAGCCGATTGATATTAAGCCATCATAAAAACCCGGAAGCACTGGACGGCCATTTTTTCCTGTTGTGAGACTCTTCTGCAGTGCTCATCCACGATCCCGCCCGCGGGATTCGAACTCAGGACCTTCAGTCTCGCGCGAGAACTGAGCCAGCATTCAACGGTGTTAATGGCTAACCTCAGCGAATCCGCAAAATTGTGCGACCATCTTCCATTATACTGAGGTAGATACCTGTCTCTACCCGAAAAGGTTTAGCTCCGCTAGTGACTGGGAGGTCTTACAATAGGACGAAACGGTCGTCCAGTGCTTCCAGGTTTCCAAAGGTGAAAATTCTCATTTTGCCATTTGTTCAATAAAGAAGGAACGAATTGAGTTTTTCATCATGGCTCTACACTAATATATATATATATATATATATATATATATATATATATATATATATATATATATGATTTACAATAATGATATAATACTCATCGAGTGGATACGTTACGTAATAATTGCATAATGACATTTAAATTAACATTGAGTGATTGGAAGAAAGAGGATTATTAATACTCAAAGTAATTATTCGAAAATCAAGAAGTTGTTACGTTGCGTAATATATGAAAAAGAGAAGGGACATGATTTTCTAATGGATGGTCAATAGAATTGTAGTTATGTAAGAATCAAGAAATTAATGTTGAGAAATTATAAAATTCAAACGAACTTGATAAAGATCTTGACTCATCGTACCAGAATGATTTGCTCGGAAGACATCATTGAGGATGAATTGGTTAATATTCAGAACTTACTTAGGATGAATGAGAACCCTATGAAATTCATCGATAAACACATGATGGCGATGAAAACCAGGACAAAGATACCTACCGTCCCTAAGAAAGTCCATAAAATTACAATTCATAAATGACATCACTGAAGAAATCGTGATTCAGAAAGTAAGAAGAGCTGTACAAAAAACATTTAATGCAGCCAGATTAAATGCTATCTTCTACAGCCACCCCAAAATAAGAATTGCCAATAAAGACAGACTGCCTGAATTCACCAAATCCATGTGTATCTATCTGTTCAACTGCTCCTGTGGAGAACGTGTAAATTATCCAGTTGAAGGATCCACCAGATAAACTTGATCAATGACTGATAACCTCAGAGAGTCGAAATCGGTTCCAATCATCATGTTAAAATATTATATACAAATGCTAAATATATATTCATTTGGTTTTTAATTAGAAATTAATCCGTTTTATAACTCCTAATTGTATTCATTTTGTATTGTTTGTTTGTATCTTCCCATTAATGTATAGAATTGCAGTTGATCAGTCACTTATTAACATATGTGCATCCTGTGAATATTCCCTCGATATCGCCTTACGTCACAAGCATAAGTAAAAATGGATGGAATGAACATGAACTTCAGGATGCAGGTACATCCAACTGACGAAAACTAAGTAGGACGAAACGCACGTCCTGAATTCAACTGCTAGTCACCACCTTATTTGATTGGATAAAAATTAGCTGTACTTTTATAAATTTATTTCACGAATAGCTAGAATTCTTCTAGGTACTCTAGTTCAGTTTAGAACGTTTTATGGGTTTTACTGAACATTCTAGAAGTTGAAATTTTCTTAATCAGGCAGAGTAATTGGTAACACCATGGATACAAGTTCACGAATCGACTCATTCTCAAAATCTTATAGAAATTAAGGATCAACAGTAAACATTTAGATAAGTCTTAGTTTTAATATACAAACCAGTTATTTAGTTAAAATTACTTTCATATTTACACCTTCTAATTATTCTCAATATTCAACTATGAACGTTTGACGAGGTCAGTGTGTCAAGCGTTCGCTACGCATTACTCAAGGTTTAATTGGAAGACAAAGTAGTCCATCTGTAATGGTTACATCCGGTTTTCATTGACTTTTCAGCTATAATTCGTTAAATCGAAAATCAAAGTTTATTTGATAAAGTATTATCAACTGACAGTTGACAAGATATTCTGCTTTCTCTAGGTTCCATTTTTATTTAGCACTCATTAATAAGGGGTATCTGTAATCTTCAGAGCACTAGTGCTCCATATAGAATTTGAACCTTTGTCACCATGACAACTTCATTCAACCTTCAAACATGTCAAGAAAATGCATTTGATCTAAATTCATTCAAACTAACGCTCAACATGATCGACAGAAATTGATGGCCACCGAGATGACATTGATCAACTAACTATAATTAAAATTATCTCCTTAACAGTCATACAATCAATCAAGTATAGCAATGCTGAGGTGACCATTACTATTGTGGGATTAAGTTGAGTTTGTAAAAACTTTATTCGTCATATGATTCATCAAACAAGACCAAGATTATATATATATATATATATATATATATATATATATATATATATATATATATATATATATATATATATATATATATATTGACAGTACTGAGTTCTCCATACTAGATGATTGAATCATAGTTCTTATTGTCATCTTGGACTGCATCTTCAGCCTCTAATTCATGTAGAAGTGACCTTTCTATTTATTCCATAAGTCTTGCATTGGTTTATTCAGATGACATTTTTTTATGATCGGCTGTTTTCGTAGGTTCCGGCTATCCTCATTTGCTTTTACATTCATTTTGACTATCTTTACTGGTTGACCTCTGATCATGTGACTGATTGACCTCTTCAGTATAGGTTCATAGACTGGGTCATTGTCAGTGTGTCTATTTACTGATAGTTGGTTTGAATCTCATACTTTTAGAAATTCTGTGAGATTCTTGGAATTTTATCCATAAAAGATATTGACATTTTTTCACTCGAATTTATATCTATGGTTATCTTCATCTATTGATATGTGAGATAGTATATAATGTTACTTGGTAGTAGACTGTTTAAATATCGTCAAAACTTATATATATACAAATATATTAGTTGAATTAAGGGATCAATTGCAGCTAGACCACCATGAAAAACCTAGAAGCACTGGACGGATGTTTCGTCCTATTGCAGGACTCCTCAGTAATGCTCATTCACTATTCCACCCCGTGAGATTCTAATCCGAGACCTATCAGTCTTGCACGCTAGTGCTTTACCTCTAGACCACTGAGCCGACCGGCACCCAACGGTGTTAATGTCTAACTTCAACCAATCTACAAAATTGCACAACTATCCACCGTTGTCATTGTCAGTGAGTTACTATCTCACAAAAGCCCCAGGATCGTGGATACGCACTGCTGAAGAAGTCCCACAGTAGGACAAAACAGCCGTCCAATGTTTCCAGGTTTTCTATGATGGCCTTACCTTCAATTGACTCATGAATTCAACGATTATAATATCCACAAAACCCTTCATTGGTTGCAATACAAATATATGTAATAATAATGCTACTGAGTTTTCTTCTATCTTGTCATTCTATCTTCTATTCTTCTTCTTTTTCTTCTTCACCGATTTTTTCTATTTAAGTTTCACTTGTTTTCGTTTTGTTCTTTATTCTATGTTTTCTTTTTTTATTATTCTCTCTCGTCTGACCTCTCACTCATTAATATATATATTATGTTCTGTCTAGACACAATATAATAAGTTTAATTAAACTATTTAGTATAGTCAATCTCTATTCCTACATAATATGATGTAAAATATGAGATAAATGAATAGAATGTAAACAAATATACGACAGAATAGAATATGACCATATCAATACAAGTCTTAATCAAGTATATATGGATAGGTGATGCACATACACCTAAATCTATACCTACACACACACACACACTTATGGGTTTTTACTATACAAATTTTACGGGGTTGAACTACTATAGTTCATTTGGTATAAAATTGACGTTTATTTTGCATATCATAATTAGATTGATTATTTTTAATAAAGTAGTTTTACATTTCTTATTACATATTTTATGTTTATGTTCACTTACCAATGGATGTATCATACTACATTGATCGATCACTGATATCATATTTGTGTTTAATTCTTAGTTGTAATGGTATTCAATTGATCTAGTTGAAATATAGTCAGTCATCTGTCTAAATTATTCAGTAATATGATAAATTATATGTTTGATGATTAATGGTTGGAAATAATCGCTAGGAAAATATACCAAACATAAATTATGTGACATACATTAAAGTGGCATACCAGTAATTTTGATGGAATGGGTGATCCTTGTTAGTTTCTAATATACATAATTCAGCTTCATGGTCTAAAGAATTATGGTTGAGCTATTTTATCTGCAATTGATCTCATGTAAAATTGAGATACTTACAAATGACTGATCATTAAATAGTGATCAATGTTATGTGGTCCAGCTTTAATTGAATCATGATCCCAACTATTACAATTACAATAATATCCCCAAACTCCTTCTGATACTAATCAACATATACTCACTAGTGACTGAATTCAAGAAGTATTTCCTGGAGTTCTAGTGAGAAGACATGACCAGTGGAATTTAATCTGGTCTGTTGTGAGATAGTAACTCACTGAAGACAATGATAGATGTGTCGCTCAATTCCGTGGATTAGTTGAAGTTAGGCGTTAACACTATTGGATGCCAGCTCAGTGATTTAGAGGTTAAGCGTTCGCTCGCGGGACTGATAGGTTCTGAGTTCGAGTCCCGCGGAGCGGGATCCTGGATGCGCACTGTTGAGGAGTCCCGCAATAAGACGAAAAGGTTGTTCAGTGCTTCTATGGTTGTCTAGCTTTAACTGAGTCATGAATTCAGCAAATAAATTGTTCAAAAGTACAAGGATAAAATAATTAAATTATATACGTAACTTCGTTTATATAATTGTTAGTAACCGTTTTAATATCATTCCTCTGATGATATCTAGAATTGAATTTTAACCAGTATTTGCTGATATATATGCATCCTATAAGGTGAGGCTAACAATGACATTAAAGACAAACACTTTTTTCTATTTCGGACATATCAATTAGATTTACTTATAACTTCATGATTATGTTCACACTGAAAGTGGAATCCAATTCTTTCTTTTCAAAAGTCAGCGACTTATCCACTGTGTCACAGAGTCTAGATAGCTATAACTCAAGTCCTCGATGTGGGCATCAGTACTACAGTGAATAAACCTCCAAACGACAGGTCCTTGATAAAAAGAAATCAGTATTCTGAATCCTACTGCTAGCTAAAATCTATTCCTGATAAAGTAAAGTTATAAAAATATAGATGAGAATGATTTATGAATATGACGCGTATTGAGTCATCTTCATAGTAGACAAGATCACTAAGCCTTAGATGGGTCAAAGAAAAAATTTGAACTTGAATCTTCCAAATGTTTAACACCAGTGTATTGCTTTATTAGGAAAACACTTCAACTGTTTAAAGGGTTTCCAACAAATTACTCCAAATATGATAGGTTTTTGCGAATGAATTGTTATCTTGGACTAGATGAACTTAGATAGAACTATTGACAATCTCAATTAGACCTTCCCATGGATACGATAGTAAAAGATTACAAAGCGAGAAAAATACATTTCTAAAATATCATCTTATCTAACTTACTCCACAAGTGTAGTTAGATTGATAAGAGATCCTTAAACGTTGAATCACAGTCCAAGCGGTTACGAAATCCGATGAAGGTGGATTTAAGATTGAACGTCGGTCAATCAGTCAGTTACAACGTAAGACCAGGCACATATATACATCGGTCCAAGTTGCCATACCTCATTCGCACAAAAAGACGAACGCTGGATTCATAGTGGCAGTTAATCAATGGTGTATTATATAAAAGAAAGATTTTTTGTAAGAATATAGTACAGGAAGAAAGATATGAAGTTTCAATCTCATAGTTTAAAGGCAGACAGAAAGTGTATACACCGACGCCATTATGATGGATTCTGAGCCTTGTCACCTAGAGTCTCCAACCCTTGGTTACGATAGTCACGCGGACCCCAACCAAGTAATCTGCATCTACCAACATGGCTCAAACTAGAAGCTAGTGATTTCAAGCACTGATGCCACAATTTGGTTTGGCCATCCCTAATCTTCTTCCAACCGTGTCCAACACTAGTCAGCATTGCACGTCGTGGTAATCAGTGTCCAGTCATACGTAACACGTGGCCCAACCATCTCAGTCGATGAAGATTCACAAACTCATCTAATTTACCATCATTACGTCTAACTTCACCATTACTTATCCGGTGATCCCAGCAGATGTGAGTAATATTTCTAAGGCATCTGTTTGAACCTGGCATTTAATGACCGACTATCTAATGTCATACGTACTATAAGTTACCAGTTGTTGGGGGAGGGGGAGGGATATTTTTCAACTACTTTGCAATTTATTTTAACATTTATTAATGTCTTTTATTTACCTTTCTCTTCTATTTATTACTTATTATAGAGTTTGCATGGTTTGTTAATGTTCATTTTAAACCAAAAGATTATACAAGTGCCTGTTTAATTCCAAACAATAATGGATCACATTATTTATGTTTAACTTGTACAGAAATACTTTTAATTCAAGGAAATTTACGTATACCGAAATTAATTATTTTAGTGAGTTTAATTATTTTATTTTGTTTTTTTTAATCGAATTTAAACATAACCGTATCTGATGAGCCTCAAACTTAGACGAAACACAATTATTGAATTCCATTGTTAATTACTATTATGAATGTGGTGAAATCATTACATGTTTATCATATCAGTTACCATAGTGATTATCAGTAGAATAAAAGAGGTATATTTCGTCCAATTTCTAGACTCATCAGCTGGATGTATTCCAGAGTTGATATTGACTCTAATACTTGAATGCAATAGTATTCACTTCAAATGCTGAATAGGTTTATTTTATTTAGCCTCTGAATTCAATTTTGATAACTAAGATTGATCAAATTGCAGTCAAAATATCAACAACAAGTTTATCTGAATTATTAAAATGAATTTCGTTATCATAATATTTATGGTTTAACTAGAACATGAGATTAATATATTGAGTAAATAATTGTTATTACGTACTTACTTAAGCCTGTTACTCCTCATGGAGAAGCATAGATCAGCATTCTCCATACAACTCTGTTCTGGGCAATATTTTCCAGTTGCTATTCATCCTTTTCATGTCTGCTTTCAATAATCGGTGTTCCTTGGTCTTTCTCTGTTCCGTTTTACTTCAGGATTTCAAGTTAACGCCTGCTTTGTGATGCAGTTTGATGATTTCTTCAATGTGTATTCTATCCACTTCTATTGTGCTTTCCTAATTTCCTCTTCAAATAGAAGTTAGTTTGATCTCACCCATAGTAGGCTGTTGCTGATGGTCAACAGGCATTCAGTATCTTACATAGAAAATTATCAAGAAATACTTGTACCTTTTTGATGAAGGTTGTTGTAGTTCTCCAAGTTTCGGCTCCGTACAGTAGAATAGTGTTGACGTTTGTATTGAAAATTTTGACTTTGATGTTGGTTGACAGCCATTTTGAGTTCCTTATGTTCTTCAACTGTAGGAATGTTGTTCCTGCTTTTAAAATCCTTACCCTTTCATCGACATTAGACCTTCCTTGTTCATCGATGATGCTCAACATGTAAGTAAAATTGTTTCCACCTCTTCCAAAATTTCTTTATCAAGTGTGATTATGTCTGTGTTCTCCGTGTTGTATTTGAGGTTCTTGGTTTTTCCCTTATGCTATTCAATCCAATTAAATGAATTATCATGAAGAAAAGAAGTTTTACATTTTATAAACAAATGTCTATCATAAACTAACATATTTTAAAAACATGGCTAATCGATAGAAAGAAGAATACTATTCCACACCAGTGAAATACAGTTTACCAATAACTTCCCATAAATATACTCATAAATCTTGAATAACATTTGACCTAAAAAGTAGCTAAAATCCAATTCATCTTTGTTCCTTTCTTATGTCATTATATAAGCATTTAAACTGTTATCAATATTAGTATATATTGCATTGGTTAATCATAAATATACACTTTAATTACTGTGATCAAATTATGAAAACAAACGTTCATATTTATTTAGGCTAGAATGATTGTAAAATGTTTAACAGTCTAAAAATTAACTATTAATTCATAGTACTTAGTAACCAAACAATTAGCGTTTCTAACATTTACTCCGGAAGTTGTATGACCCTAAACGTCCTGGTACGGCCGACAATATGGAGAAATAGCTCTCCCTCTCCAAATGCTTTCACATAGCCATGAGTATATAGCTACTGACAGGGAAATCCTACTCACTGCTTTCTCGCGGCACAGGTGTTGCTTATGAAATTCAAAGGACAAAAAACAAATGTCCAACGCTTTCATCGGACTGATGGAAATGGATGTTTCACATAGAGGAGTTGGAAAACCCTCATTCCAAATCAATGATGCACATGGGCTGGCTCCAGGATCCTGCGGGAACAAATGGTGTATGAACCAATTGTTGGTCATCGGCTTCCATGGGACTGCATCTCCTTACGATGCTCCACTGCCTTGTGGATCAGACCTTCAGGTCGAAGGCTCGGGGTGTGGCCCCCTAAGAAAACCATATGTTTCGGTTTGGGCACCCGAGCAGTATCACAGCCCTCACACATATCAAATGAGATTTGTGTGGTGCATATGTATTTGGTGCCTCCTTGTACCAATATCTATATGTTGAAATAAATAAAATAATAATAAACATCCGGTTCAGCTTACAGAATGATGCTTCATCAATAAAGCTATTCATTTTCTTTTCATTAAAGTCAATATCTATATTTTGTTTTCTTAACCAGTATCGATTTGTACGTCAATGTGTATCACGTAGAGATGGTCAATTTCGTATTTATACTGGTCGTGCATCACCAATTGGTGAATGTGAAATTATATTTCAATTAGCTGATCATACAGAAGCAGTATATGTACATGAACAATTTACACGGTTAGATTGTTTTCATTATCATTGGTTTTTCTCTGAAATTCTATTAATCTATTTATCTTAAGGACTTTGTTTATTTCAGTTTTGAAGTGAAATGGTCTCCACTTGCAGAAATCAAAGAATATTGAAATAGTGTACATGTTTAAGTTGTGTACAGTGGGTTGAAAAAGTTCAATGACATTACTATTTTGAATAATTATCATTAAATGGATGAAAAGAGGTTTGTAGGGAATCCTGCTCGAAACAAGTTTTTTCACACTTGCCACATCTCATCAAGGCTTACCTAAAATCTTGACAGAACTGATGCTTTCTGTAGGAATCAAACTTGTATTACTTACTTTCATAACCTAATATGTTATAATTGTACTATTCAGGCCTTTAGACTTTTGGAGGAATGTGAAATTTGTAAATGATTGGTCACAATGTCATATTTCCTTATTCCTTAACGCTGACTGATTTGGAACTGTCGGAGACAAAAAACACAATATTGTAGAATTCGAAACTTTATTTATAAGGTATACACTTTGAATATGGATGTTATTGTAACATTCTGACTAAAGACACTAAGAATAATCATTTGACTAAACTTCTGGCTATAATACAATCATTGAAAATCAGTTTGAACCATCAAACAAAAGTATATACTGGTAACTAGCTTTGAGACTAAATTTCCGGAGATTAAATAAAAGAAGCTCTGATCAGTGGGGATCATCCGTGTCAAGTATGAGAAAGGTATCCATCAAAAATTAGATAAAAGTGGTCGGACTGTCTCACAGATTGACTGAGTTCGGAACTGGACACTGTTAAGTGCCGGTTCGGAGGTTCGGGAGTTGTACGATCACCTTCATACCAGACGTCCTGGGTTCAATCCCCAGTGGCGGAGTTGCGGGTGCATACTATTGAAGAATCCCCCACTGGGAAGAAGTAGTTGTTTAGTATTTCTATATTTTCAGTGCTTGTCGTTTTCTCGGCTTAGTAGTATTCAACAGCTTTCACAACATCCACACTATAGCATAAGATTGCAGATAATTTTCATAATAAAAATAGCCATGATGACATAAGTAATGGAGACATTTTGAATCATTAAAACTATTATTTTTTAATAGATGATATTAGTCAGATCTATCCAATCGTATTTACAGGTATCTTTTTAAACATAGTCCACTTCATTCAATATATGAAGGTCTGTAATTTCGTGAATTGATTGAAGTTAGACTTGTACAACACTGGAACCAGCCCCAGTAGTCTAAGTATTAAGGGTTCACGCAACAGGCTAAAGCTCCTGGAATTAATTTCTGAATGAGGGGCCGTGGCTGAGCGCTGTCGATTATTCCCATACTATGAAATGCCCATATACTGCTTCCAATTTTACAGTCACTATTTGACTTTAGTTGATGTTTGTTTTCAACAGAAAGAACATATAAGTATCTATCATAAACAACGTACAAAATAAGATGGTATTAAGAACGTAGTCAAATAAAAGATTGGACATATAACCTCAGAATACCAACGATCAGGCTAGAACTATTGATTCCCAATGTCTCTGTTATGGACAACATTTATAATTCAATTTCTTCTTAGAACTAGTTTGTTCGACTTTGGGAATAATTCTGAAGGAAGATTTCGGTGGGAATATATTACCAGAATTGACTAGATATTCAACAACAGAATCAATGATTGATTTTCATTCTGGATAGTGAGTAGATATACCTTACAAACTCAAGTAATCTGTCAAATACACATTAATTTATTGTAGATTACCAATTTAACTTTGACATATCCTTGCATCAAGTATCTATAAGAAAATTGGATCCCAATAGTTGAAATCATGAGCCAATTGAAGCTAGAGCACCATGGAAAACCTGGAAGAATTGGACGGCCGTTTTGTCCTATTGCTGGACTCCTCAGCGATGCGCATCCACTATCCCGTCCCGCGGGATTCGAAGTCAGGACCTATCAGTCGTTGGACATTAACACCTTTGATGCCGGCTCAATGGTCTAATGATTAGGCGCTCGCGCGCAAGACTGGTAGATACTGCGTTTGAATCTCGCGGGGGCGGGGTCGTCAAATGCGCACTACTGAGGAGTACCATACTAGGACGAAACGGCCGTCCAGTGCTTCCAGGTTTTCCATGGTGGTCTAGCTTCAATTGGTTCATGAGTTCAACTATTGAAATTACTGAAATCTCCACAAAGGCCTTCTGAAAATGGAATTCTTAACTCAGTTGGAAAAAAAGTGAGGCTTATACAACTTAGATAGAAAGTGTTTGTCTGCTGTGTCATCCGTTATATATGACTTCATCTGAGTGTTAATTATTGTATTCGTAAACAAACTAAAAGTTTTAGTGTTTTTGACTCACTTTAAGCTTTGTAACTTATAGGCCTCGTGATCGGCGCTTAACCTTCACACTAATAACTTGACGTTCAGTGCTTTACATTTTTAAATACAGTGGTCTGAATGTCCAGCTCTGGATTCGAAGTCTAAGGGCCCAGAATTTTATCCCTGATAATATCTGGGCTCTATGAAACTATGGTGTTCCAACGGTTCGCTAACTACAATCGATTCATAACATAAACCAAAAAATTCATTCATCTCCACATAATAACCCCTTATACTACTTATTTTTAATGAGTAACGTAACTAGAACCCAGTCGCATGAGTCAGTCAGCAACAACGTAGAACTGCGTATGTACGTACATCAGTTCGAGTTGCCATACCACATTAACACAGACATGCAGTTGTCAATTCAAATCCCATACTGGTACAGCTAGTAAAAGTAAAAGCAGTGATCGGGAAGATTATGGTTCGAAAATGTTATTCAGTGAAATAAATTTGGGAAGAGGAAAAAAAGGACATAAATAATTCAGAAGATTAGAATTTGAGTGAACACAAATAGTGGATGCATCTGCTACATTGAAAACAACTTTGAGCCATGTCACTTTCAAGGTCTCTAACCATCGGTTGCTTATCGTCTCGCGGATCCCAACCATGTAGTCTACACCTACCTACCAACATGACTCAGTCCACTTGTCAATGACTTCATGGATTTATGCCATATTTTGGTCTGACCGCCCCTAGCTTTCTTCCAACCTATTCCTACACTATAAAACATCGTACATTGGGGCAGTCGGTGGTTGGTTGTATAAACTCAAATCAGTATTATACCATTCTCTAATTGTATACACTAATGAATAGAAATCTAGTCAAATTAGTTATCCTTCTTTCCATCTTAATAGTGCTAACAACATTAATAGTTACCGACAACAAATATTTTCAGACAAATAACCTAGTTTTCTCCCACTGAAAATTATTTTGTCTACTTCATACTGTTACGATGTTTTACATTCCTATTTTCTTTCTCTTTTTTTTGTCTGAAAACCAGAAAACAATAAAAACTTAAATGAAGATAGACATAAATATTTTCCCCTTCTCTGTTTACATTAAAATGTTTTTCTAGACCATATTTCGTCTATTCTTGTGTATGTACATATGTATGTAGGTAGGTATGTATGCGTATATGTTTACATCGACCGTGTGTACACATACCTAGGAATGAATGTATGCATGCGTCCATTGTTTCATCTCTTACGTAACTTTGAGAGTGTTTGATGATTATTTACAAATGTCGTTTAACTTAGAGTTATAGCTGTATAATCATCGATGTTTAGTTATCCCCTGTATAGATCAATCGATAACTAAAAAAAGGCATAACATAAGCACAGATACATATACATTTATAGATAAAGAGTACCCTAGAGTTATTTATAATGTTTCTTTCCCATTATTGTCTTTGTTCTACTCTTTACAATTTTCCAATATCACCCTTGATTTTTATTTTACATCAATATCTTAACAAGTAAATGTGTAGTTTCAGTTTAAGTTCCAGTAAGGTAAGGATAAGAAACTGGATGGTTTATGATAATCCTGGTAATATGGTGATCTCCTAGTTGATTCAACTCTTTTGAAAGCTTCAATTATGTGTTGAGATAATGAATTCGATTCGTTAATGATTCGAAGGGAAAATCGATAGTCAGCTGACAAGTAATTTGTTTTAGGGTTGTGAACCGTTTTAGAGTGTTCTCGTAAATCCTGTTTTGGAAGATAAGAAGAATGAAGGCATATCAGATGGAAATTTATCACTAAGTAATTTAAAAACTGTGAAATTGTCGCCACTGATTCTTCTATGTAACAATGCAATAGGTTTCGTTTGGTCGGTCGATTATCACACGAGAGCTTTGTTATTTCGAAAATCAGCTTAATAAGGTTCTTCGAACATTTTCCAATAGCTCACTGCCTCTTTTCAGATAGGGACAAGCCGCCTGTATGTAGTACTTGAGTTTAGGATGAACGAATAATGTATACGAAGTCAAAAAGGTGTAAGCATGGACATGACTGAAGGCTCAACGTATTGACCCGAAAATTTACAACTTGAAGGTCCTCTCGCCAGCATCTGGCCTTAATTTTAATTCTTTTTCAGCTAACCGAAAAGCACTGGACGGCCATTTCATCCTAGTATGGGACTCCCTAGCAATGTACATCCACGATCCGTCCCGCGATATACGAACGCAGGATCAGTGACTCTCCAAGAGTTATTTCCTGGAGTTCTAGTGAGAAGCCGTGAGTTCAAACGGGTCTGTTTTGAGATAGTAACTCACTAAAGACAATGATGGGCGGTGGCGCAAATTCGTGGATTGTTTGAAGTTAGACATTAACACTGTTGGATGCTGGCTCAATTGTCTAAAGGTTAAGCGTTCTCTTGCGAGACTGATAGGTCCTGTGTTCGAGTCTAGGAAACGCGTTTCGTCGTACTTCGGATTTATCAGTTTGGTTTGACCGCGGCTTAGTTTTTTAATGTTTAAATCAAGCATTGAGCTCATCTTCTCTCTTCGGCATTTTTCAACGATCATCAGTTCTTCTTCCTGTTTATCGGTAGTACACATCATTCAATTATATTGAAATTTTACATATACTATACAAAGTAAACCAGATATATTCGTCATTAGCTTAGCTACTTTTCCCTTTCCATCTTCTCAAGTGATAATCTTACATGAACAAGAAATATATTATGTTTAGGTAAATACAAAAAGGTATATCCAACATAACCGCTTTCATCATGTATTCGCAATAATTATTAATCCTTATTCTAACCTTTATGCATAGTGATTATGTATTTTGTTATTTTCTAACAGACTTATGCATCAGGCTAGTGTAAATACACCATCATTATCATTGTCTTCATCATCTTCATCTTCAAATTCTGGATGGAATCGATTTGGTTATAGTCAAAATAAGTAAGTATATACTTTAAAAAAACTTTTTATGTACATTAAAAATATCGGTTATTGTTGAGGAGACATGGAAAATTCCTGTGAAAAAAACATAAAGGGGCCCTGAAAACTCTAGGAAACATTTTATACAATCATTATTCGATAGAATTCTCTCGGAAACATTTAGAAAGTGCAAAGTCACATGTTTCATTTCTGATTGGATGATGATCACCTGCCTTGATATTATGTTTAGTAAGGTTCCAGAACCTTCTGGAAGCTCGAGACCATCTAAAATGTCATAACTACCCTAAATTTTCTGTACATGAGCTAACTGCGGGAAAAAGCGTTCTTTCCATATTGTGTGCCTTTTCTCACGTGTTCAAGTTGACGTGTAAAGTTAGCCTGAGGTTATTAGAAGAGCTTAAGTAACCGATTTAATTGTTCAGTCAGAAGATTTATCAGTTATTAAGAGTAGATGGATTGTAGCCATCAGTGAAATTGAGAATATGAATTCTGTCCTATTTAAAACTCATCAGTTGGACACATTTGAATCATATAGTGTTAACATTCATATTGGGACTCGAACCCAACACTTGCTAATTCAAATATCAAAGTCTTATTTACTGAACTATAGAGTCCATATAATCACTAACTTATTCAATAGATATGATGCTTACATTATTAACGGTGTTCAAATTATTCCGTTATGAATATTCAAGATTAACTTGGGATTAGTCTTAATCAATGTACGTATATTCTGTAGAATCTAGAATTTTTATTACACTTCTTATTTGGAACTCGTCAGTCAAGTGTAATTTTATCCTACTTTTGATATTCACCTTAGGGAATGATTATCAACAATAAAATTATTCAAACTTAACAATAAGGATATTGAAAATATTAATCTTTGAATCAATTCACAGAATGGCATCATTAATTTGTGGAAATGACTTATTTTTCTACTCTATTTATTTATTTGAACAAATAAATATTGGTATAAAGGGGCACCGAATACATATGCGCCACACAACTCACTTGATTTGTGTGCGGGCTGTGCTACTACCCGGGTGCCCAGACTGAAGCAGATGGTTTTCTTAGTTGGCCACACCCTGAGCCTTTCACTTAAAGGTCTGATCTACAAGGCAGTGGAGCGACGTAATGAGATGCCTTCCCATGGTAGCTAGTGACCAACGATTGGTTCATACGGCATTTGTTCCTTCAGGATCCTGATGCCAGCTCATGTACACCATTGATTTGGAATGAGGGTTTTCCAACTCCCCTAGGTGGACTCTGCGTGTCCACCAACCTGGTTAAAGCACCAGACATCCGCATTTCATAAACAACACTCTCGCCGCGAGAAGGCAATGAGTAGGACTTCCTTGGCAGTGGCTGTATACGCGTAACCATATGAGAGCATTTGGAGAGGGAGAGCTGACTCTCCCTATTCTCGGCCATATCAGGGCATTTAGAATTAGTGTTGAAATGAACTGAATTGAAGTCTATCAATTTGTTGTATATCAACATGCATGCATCCATGACCCCGTATGCGGGACCTGAACCTGGGACACTAGATCTCGCTTGCGAATGCCTCATCTCTAGATCATTGAGCCTGCATCTAACGGTGTTAATATATAACTTCAACCAATCCACGATGCTAGTTGACCATGTATCGTGGCGAATAAACTGTGCTACAAAAGTTGAAAACTTTTTGAGATACTTTTACTGTGGTAAGTAGTTTGGTTATTGTTATATCTGTGAGACGGCAGCTGATTAGAGGGGAGCGAATTATCGATCGGACCAAAGACGCGCAGACACGTAGAACGACCTAGGGTTCTGATTGGTCCCGCTTCCCTATCTAGCCCAGCAGTTGAGTCCAGAACGCAAGTCACAGCCTCGGATATATGAATCATTATATTTCAAACATACTTTGTTTATATACCAGTCAAACAAACCACATCATACCATAAAATAGAAAATAACATTGTACAATATTGGCCAGTAGGAAAATGACACGTGAAATAAGTACTGACCAATAAGAAAATAATACCATGTCGAAGTTCAAGAATAGCATTAGACTTAATAGGATAATTTCTGGGATATTTTCCTGAATATCCCAACAGTTATGAAGAGTAGTTAAATGGGAAATAATATATTTAGTATATGAGGACAACATAGTAACTTTTATTACACTTAGTTGATAGGCAACATCTAGTGCTTCCTGGTTTTTAATGGTGGTCTAGTTTACATCGACTAATGAATTCAACTAATAAAAAATTATGACTTTTGAATTTATAGTAATAGAAATTAAGCCTCATTCATTATTGAAAAAAATGAAGAGATTTTAAACAAGTAGTTTTTACCTAAGTTTTAAAACGATATTTTATTTCAAAATTTGAGATCATGAGTCAATTGAAACTAGACCACTATAGAAAACCTGAGAGCACACTGGACGGCCGTTTCGTTCTATTGTGGGACTCCTCAACTTCAATCAACTCATGATCTCAACCATTGAAATTATTATAATATTCACAAAAAAACCTTTTGATATTTGATTCGTTTGGAAATCTTATTGTTCATTGTTTTGTATGATTTAAGGTCATCGTGTGATAGATAGATCAATAAGTCTATTTAGTGATCATTTCTCAATAAATCGATTTATTTTTTATAATCAATAAAATTGATTTTTAGGTGTTGAAATCATGAAATGATATAAGCTATTTTTTTATGTACTTACGCCTGTTACTCCGCTGGAGTTCCTCTGGGGCTACTGCCGGTCCCAAGTCCGGATAAATGAGGAGGGTTGGGCATGGAGTTAGTGACCCCATCCCGTAGAAAACTAATTCGCTAAAAAAGCGATGACCAGATATTAGCTATACTACTAATGAAAACCTGGAAGTACTGGATGACTGTTTTGTCCTAATATTGGAACTTTCATCAGTGATCATCCATAATTTTATCATATGAGATCGAACCCAATACCTTTCATCGCGCTAGTGAACACTTAACCTATAGACTATTGAACCGGTATCTAATTTTATATATGTCTGAGTTCAATCCATTCTTTGGAGTAATGATAAATATCCCTAGCTAAACAACTAATAAGAATTCCTACTTTTCAGATATTAAATATTGAAATGATAATCAGTTGTGAACAGTTCACAACCGAATAACTTTCACTCTTAGTTTTAAATTTAATGGTTTGAATTATTGTGTAGATCAAAGGATGACATTTGAAATTAACTGAATCGATTGATAATTGAGATTATGAATCGATTGATGTTAAACTATCATTGAAAACCTTGAAGCACTGGACGGCTGTTTTGTCCTGGAATGGGACTTCTCAACAATGATCATCCACGATCCTGAACGTGGGATTCACTATCCAAGATTAACTCAATTTATGATAAATTAATGTGAAACTCTTATTACGACAGAAGGTGTATCATGATTTGTGATAGTTCATAGGTCACATCTTTGAACATAATACTCGTTGTTAGGACTTGGAATCCTACTAGGAAGATCAGTTTTCGTAATCACCCAGGTATGAATTGTTCACGAACTTCATTATTATGAACATTAGGTGTATGAACACATGTTGACCTTCCCAAATCACACAAAGTGTATTACAATATCATGTTATTTAGTGTACTCGTTCCAGTGAAGCGAAATTAATAGAACTTAATTAAAACTAAGGACTAGACAGGGTGACATTTTATTAAAAAGGTTATTTAATGTAACATGTGTTTAACACTACTAATGTAAATATATTCTATCATAAAGGGTCAGTCTGTGATGTTGATCATAAAATTCAATGATCTCCACCAATCTCCTATACCGATAATGATAATTTACCTATTAGTGACTAGTTCTGATAAACGATTCCCAAAGTACATGTGAGAGACCATGACTAGTGGAGTTGCTCCATGTTGAGTGTGAGGCTACTAGTATTGGAAGATGGTTATTCCATATGGGAAAATTGTTGAAGTTAGAAATGTAAACTATTGAATAGTAACTCCGGTCAAAGCGTGAGGCCCAAAGGTCTTAGGCTATATCTGTGTTGGAGTCGTTTATGAGACAACTCAACCGTTGTTGCTACCTTGACTTGGTGGTTGGATTCGCCTATCGTGATGAATCAATCGAGCTATACTAGCTGGAACAATCTCCCCCCAAGATCTAACCATGCCAGACAGGTAGGTTTAAGAGCGGTAAGACTAAGAGCAGTAAACCTGAGGTCTAAGTGCTATATCGTACTGCTGACTGTACAGAGGTTTGATGGCAGTAAGTTGTTTCTCTAGCACAACCAGCATAACAGCGATGCTGCCTTCCCACAAGGAGCGGTGGGGTTAGAAAAGGTCGAACGTAAAATGCACACCTCGCCTTACCCCCCGGATATCCGCCTCCGGCGGTGACGTCTCAACAAGTACGGAGCCAACACGAATATTAATCATAAAAAGGTCGTCGTGACCGACCCTAAGTAGTTATCCCTTGGGTACTGCGGTCACGCTCTCGGGTCACTAAGACCACCTCTAATCCAATTTCCTTTTCAGGTAACTTTAGAAGAACCCTTCTATGGTGTGAGCACGTGTTGCGTATGCCTGAACACCGATTACCACGACGCGCAATGCTGACTAGTGTTGGACACGGTTGGAAGAAGATTAGAGGTGGCCAAACCAAATTGTGGCATCAGTGCTTGAAATCACTAAATTCTAGTGTGAGCCATGTTGGTAGATGCAGATTACTCGGTTGGGGTCCGCGTGACTATCCTAACCAATGGTTGGAAACTCTTGATGACATGGATCACAATGGCGTCGGTGTATACACTCTCTGTCTGCTTTTAAACTATGAGATTAAAACCGCTTCATATCTTTATTTCTACGAACTTACTCTTCCTTCCTGTACTGTATCATTATACACAATCTTCATTTTTTATACCACCACTGTATTAACTAATTTATAAATCCAGTGTTCATCTTGCTGTGCTAACGAGGTATGGCAACTTGGATCGATGTATATATGTGCCTAGTGCTACGTTGTAGCTGACTAACTGCTGTTTATGAGAACTGATAGAAAACCTCAAACAAGGATGATATGGAACTTAACTCTTTGTTTTCAATGGCTCTTTAACTAATGTCGTCTTGTGATGTAACTATAAACATTTCCAGTTTTTCGTTTACTTTTTACCTCTCTCTCTCTCTCTCTCTCTCGAATAATTTCGTTTAGTTTACCTCCATTGCCAAGACCAATTTCATTATCTCAAAATAATCCATTATTATCTGAAGTGAATTTACAACCAATTAAACGCTTAACTCGTTCCAAGTCTATATCCATCATTTACAATAATAATGATAATAATTCCATAGACGACGACAACAATGACAAGAAGAATCATTCCATGAACAATAACAACAAGAAGAATAATCTTGATTATAATGAATGTAACATAATAATAAACAAGAAAAATGTATTACATCAATCATGTCCTTTATTATTAAATACTATCAAAGATAATTATTTCTTGGATCATCATGATCAACAATATTCAAAAGAAATAAAATCAATACAAAATGATCATAATGATACTATAATAGTTAATAATGAAATAAAGTAAGTGAATAAGTTTTTTTCTTTTTTTTGATGATAAAGTTTTATTCTATGAACTTAGGATAGTTTGATCGTTATTTATTCATTTATTTTAACACATAGATATTGGTACAAGGAGGCACCAAATACATATGCGCCACACAAATCTCATTCGATATGTGTGAGAGCTGTGATACTGCCCGGGCGCCCAAACCGAAACAGATGGTTTTCTTAAGGGGTCACACCCCGAGCCTTCGACCTAAAAGTCTGACCCATAAGGCAGTGGAGCATCGTAAGGAGATTCAGTCCCATGGAAACCGGTGACCAACAATTGGTTCATACGCCATTTGTTCCCGCAGGATACTGGGGCCCATATGCACCATTGATTTGGTTTGGGATCCGGTTGAAGCGCCGGACATTCGGTTTTCGTCCTCTCATTTTCGTAAACAACACCCATGGTGCAAGAAGGCAGTGAGTAGGACTTCCCTGACAGAGGCTGTATACGCGTGGACATGTAAGCGCATTTGGAGAGCGAGAGCGGACTCTCCCGACTCTCGGCCGTACCAGGGCATTTGGGGATTGATTTCATCATTATTCTGAATGATATCAACCGGAACCATTCGCATTTGCGGTTGATGATGTGGGTTGAGAGGTAGAATTAAGTTACAATATCTAGTTCACTAGGACCCAGTTTTCGAAGCAGCACGCAGACTTTCCAAGAGTCATCATGATATATATTTATACTCAACGTAATATGGAAGCAATCCGTATAGGATGTACATATGTCAATAAGAGACTGATCAATTACAATGGATAATGCTATGGTGTTTGAAGTGAACGGTACTGGATTCGAGTTTGGGAGTGAATATCAACGCTAGGATGGAGGTGCAATGAGCCCGAATAAAACGAAACGCGCGTCCTGGATTCCATTGCTAATCAAGGCAATCCACACAGTATGCATGTATTCCAATAACAAACTGATCAATTACAGTCGTAAAACATCAATAGAAAGATTCGAACAACCAATTGTAAAGATGATAATTATTATTAATGGTTATCATCTTGAAAAATAAATATATATATTCGCGATTGTACAAGTATGAAAACGAATTCGCCGAAAAGAGAACACTTCGTCGAACCAATCTTTCTTCTTTAATACTATTTGTGTTAATGGTAAAGTCTACGATAATCTAAATGTGCATATTACTAAGCACACATAGTCTGTCTTGTGATGCAGTTTGATGATTTATTCAATGTGTATCATATCCACTCCCAACCTCTTTTCTTAATTTCTTCTTCAAATGGAAGATGGTTTGTTCTCTACCATAGTAGGCTGTTGCTGATGGTATCCGGCCAACTAACATTATGTAGACAATTGTTTATAAATACCTTTGCCTTGTTGATGATAGTTGTAGTAAATCTCCAATTCTCAGCTCCGTACAGTAGAACTGTCTTGATGTTCGTATTGAAGATTATGACTTTGATGTTGGTTGACAGTTATTTTGAGTTTCATATGTTCCTTAACTATGGGAATGTTGTCTTTACTTTGCTAATCCTCGCTTTTACGTCTTCATCAGATCCTCTTTGTTAATCGATGATGCTGACCAGTTACGTAAAATTGTTTCCACCTCTTCTAGAGCTCCTCTATGAAGTGTGATTGTGTTGGTGTTCTCCGTGTTGTATTTGGGGTTCTTGGTTTTTTCTTTGTGTATGTTGAGGCTGCCACTACACTGTTTGTCTTCAACTGCATTTGTTGATGTGTATAGGTAAAAGGATCAGGTCATCTACGAAGTCTAAATCATCTAGTTAATTTCGAGCTGTCCATTGTACTCCGTTCTTTGCCTCAGATATAAATGTCTTCATAATCCAGTTCATCAGAAGAAGAATGAGAAAGGATGAGAGTGAGCAGTCTTGTCAGACATCAGTCCTCACTTGCAATGCATCTGTGAGCTGTCCTCCAAATCGATTATTGATGATTCACTGTAAATATTTTCATACTACAAGAAATTAGTTACAACATGAATAACTCATTGATATCATCTCAGACTTGTGAAACTAGATAATACAAGTTTGATCTATATATAAAGCAAAAGTTTCCTAAATTATTCATGTACAACTTATTGATTATTCAATGAGTTTCCACTTTTCATTATGAGAAGTCATAATCATAAATTTAAACAGTTGATTACAACATTCGTTATTTATACATAAAGCACAGTGTTCTTACTTAGCAATTAAAGAAGATATAAATATACAACCTGATCGTCGAAATTAAACTGTATTGGAACACATAAACTGGTCGTTTCAAGAACGGAAAGAGACTATCTTATTTTATTTATTTATTTATTTACTTACTTACTTGCCTAATTACTTACTTACCGCGTTCCTTTCTAGTTCTATCCAATTATTGTTCGTTATTCTCATGTTTTTCTCCATTTCTCGGTGTAATGTGTTCTTTAGTATTCCTCTTCTCCTTTGGCCTTAAGGATTCCAAGTGAGGGTTTGCGTTGGTGACACAGTCGCTTGCTTTCGTTACTGTGTGTCCTATCTACTTCCTGCGCTTCTTGATTTCTTCCTCCACTAGAATCTAGTTTGTTCTCTCCCACAATAGATTGTTGCTGATAATGTTTGACCAACGGAACCGAAATATTTTACGTAGATAGCTGTTTATTTAGTTTATTTATATTCTTAGAACATTATTTAAGTCAAGTTCACACAATTAATTTCAGTGTTATAACTTGTATTATGTAATTCGACAGCATAACCCATTTATTAAATACTTAGCTTTGAACTATATATGAAGTTTGAAGTCATATGCTACTATTAGGCTGCCTAAACAGAAATATGTTGATGTAGTGTTGAGTAATTGAATCCTTAAGTGATAGCTTAATTATTGAGGCTTATGTAATTGGTAAGCAGAAAATAATTAACTTTTCATTATTTGTAGTCAAGATATATTATAAACAAAATTAATCAAAACGAATGGGATTATGATATGGTATTTAATACATTTACTACTTTTGTAGTGAACGAGAACACAAGTGGGAACAGTCAAATGTATATGAACACATAAATTACAGGACGTCTTAGTAAAATCTGAGAACCATAAAGCGTTCGCATGTGAGACTGATAGGTCCTGGGTTCGAATCTCGTGAGGCAGGCGCACTTTTGAGGAGTCCCACAATTGGACGAAATGGCCATTCAGTGCTTTGAGGTTTTTCATAGTGGTCTAGCTTCAATTGACTCATGATCTTAACCATTAAAATTACAATAATATCCACAAAACGCATTCTGATCTATTTTAATTGTTTGATTTTTATAGTCAGATTTTAACATAATAATATAATTCACAATAATGTTAAATATCGTTTCATTCAGTGATTTCATTTCCTTTTCAGAGAAATTAATAACAACCCTACATCTCATTATTTGGAAATGAATTTATGTAAGTTGGTGTCAATCATTTATTATTATCTCATTTTCGAAGTACCAGATCCATGTGCTTGACTTTGTGACGAACTTTAAGTGTAAGAGGGTTAGTAATAACAAAGACCAATTAATCTAATAGAAGTGGATGAAGTACAGTTTACATCTGTGACTTAAATGGGGGGTGGGGGTGGAAGTAGAACACCTTAACCACTGAAACACCACTTAATACTACGTCAAATAAAAATTAAAACGATATAGAAATATAAAAGATCTCTTTCACGAATAGATTCAAGACATACAGTAAACATAAATTCTGGAATGCAGGCAGATCAAAGTGATGAGTCTTGAATGAGACAACGCGAATCTTGGATTCCACTATTAATCACATTTCATCTATTCAAGACAGGAATAGGTCTCAGTCAGTCAGTCAGTAACAACGTAGAACTTCGTACGTACGTACGTACGTACATCCGTTCAAGTTACCATACCACATTAGCACACAGATACAAATGTCAATTCAAATCCTGTAATGATAGAGGTAGTAAGAGTATAAACAAGAAATAGATCTAATGAAAGACTATTTACAGACGTACAAATACAAACTACTTAAGTGCTTTTCTATTTGTTTTATACATTCACATCTAATGAGATTGAAGCACCATAAAAAGAATTAAAGAATTATTTTTCATTTCCCGTCGATAAGTCCTATATCTTTTCAAACCATTATCATTGAAATAATCAAGTGTAATAACTTAAATTTTATTATAATTAACAATAAAACAAACAGTATTCGTCTTCATAAGTGTACGGTGACAATATTGTTATATCCCGATGAGAACAATAAATGGTGGTAATAGTTGGGATCTATTTCTGGACTAATACTATACATATATTCTTATTGTATAGTTGTTAAGTAACTAAATTATTCATATTCATATTCCTCTTATTATGAGCTTTATTTTGACCCATAGATGATTATTATACGATTTACCATTCCTAAGTTATGCCCAGTCTATTAATTACAGTCTACCACATTCACAACCACTTTTGGTTAAATCTTGTACAAATGCTGTTTCCTAATTTATGGTAAGATGTGGTCTGTCTGGTTAGTATATGAACCTAGTATGATTGAAATACATGATTCATATCGAGAAGGCTGAAATTGGTGTTCTGGTGTCTAACAGGCAGGGCTAGACAGGAAGAAGGACCAATAAGGACTTCAGACTGCTTGTACATGTTTATGCGTCATTGGTCCGATCGATAAATCAATGTTTCTCTAATTGGCGATATCATTATGTTATATATTAATACTTCTCAAAGCCACAAGTTATAACAAATACGCTGACGAGAATCAATCAACAATAAACCTAGTTTGGTTAGGGTCTCCTATTGACTACCATTAGAACACCTCAATCCTGTGGCGCAACCACACAGGTACCAAGCACCGTAGTGGACTATTCACACCATTCATACACACATTCACGTCACATGTATAATAATTATTCCGATCAATGATCGCGTTAATCACTTGTGCACAGCACGAACAGGCCAAAGTTGGCCTATTCCGCTTACACGACACTGAAACTCACTAATGTTTGCAATGGCGACATGCCTTACAATGTCCCAATGACAATGACCCTTGAGAACACTGGTGACCAACCACCAATATGAATGAAACTGGTTAACCAGAAAACCAATTTTGTGCATAAACAGTCAGCAAAACTTGTCAAAGTAATGTGGAATCATCCACAATATCAATGACATATATTAGAAGTGGATAGGACATTCGTTACGGAAATCACCAAACTACATCACGAGGCAAGCCCTCACTTGGAATCCTCAAGGCAAAGGACACATTACTCTGAAAAATGGAGACAGACATGAGAAGAATGAACAACAATTGGATAGAACTAGAAAGGAAGGCTCAGGACAGGGTGGATTGGAGAATAGTGATCAGCAGCCTATGCTCCATTGGGGGAGTAACAGGCCTAAGTAAGTAAGTAACAACTACCTAAAGGTAATCATTACTTAATCTCTTTATGAATATGTTTAAAATTAACTAATTAATGAATCTTTTCTTTTTCAATACTCTTATAGGTGATAGCAATATAAAAGAGGATAATAAGAATTCAGTTATTCTTAGAAATCAATCTATATTAAATAATCGAATCAAAGCATTTTCTACATGTTCACCATTAGATTTAATGTTTACATCATCTCAATTATTTAATGAAATAGTATCATTCAAAAAAGTATTATGTCCAACTATTCAACAACAAGGACAACAACAACAACAATCATCATCTTCATCTATATCAAATAGTAATATTATTAGTCATCGTGATAATAATGATTTATTTGCACAATTATTCTTTGAAAAACCACACTATCCATATTCATCATCTTCGTATGTTATTGGAAAACAAGATCAATTATCTTCATTAACTTCATTACATTATTCTAATCAAAGTCAATCAACATCAACTAGATCACATAATAGTTTGTTTCATAACAGTAATAATAATATTATTAATAGTAATAGTAGTGGTATTAATACTACTTGTAATAGTATGAGTAGTAGTTTATCACCTATGATGATAACAACTTCTAGTGGTTCATCTATATTTTTTAATTGTGGTAATAGTATTCATGGTGTTAATAGTAATAGTAATAGTAGTAGTACTAGTAGTACAAATGTTAGACCAAGAACATCAAGTGATGTTAGTAATATGCGTAGATCATATTTCTATCATTCACGTGTACATTATCCTCATCATCTTCAACAACAATCAACTATGACACAAACTCATTATCTTCATCATTCACAACAACGGCAGGAATATTCTCCTCGTCCTTTAAGTACCATTGATTATCAAACATCACAGAATATGATTTCCAACTTAAAATTAGGTAGAGATTTAACTAGTATTAATGAATTATTACCAGTGAATAATTCAAATATTATAAATCCAGTTAGTAGACCACGTGCAGCAACTACTGGATCTAATTTATTATTAAATAAACAACGATTATCAATAGTATTAAATCATTTAAAAATGAATTGGTTTAAAAAACAATCAAATATGAAAAAAATCACTCATCACAATTTTACTAATACTAATTATGCTACTAAATATAATTTTAGTAGTATAAATGATAATACTAAAGAAATGAACGAAGATAATAATGATGGTGGCAATGATGATGAATATGTTGAAACATTTCCTATGAATATGAATATATTATCGAATAATTTAAATTCATTAACATTACAAACAAATCTGTTGCCAAATTTATCAAATCATTATATGATTTTATAAGTTACAAACTAGTTTGATGTATATTTCTTGATGTAATCATTTAATGTACATAAACATGTGATGCTTAACAGCATTTATTACCTTCTTATATATGATATGATATCTTTGTTGAAAGATTCTAATTCACTTGAGACATTACTTACTTCCTTACTTACTTATTCTTGTTACACCTCGTAGACGAGGAGAGGGAGGAGGAGGAGGATAAGTACAGGCTGACCATCAATACTTTCTATCTAACCTTATCCTCAGCAATTGATTTCCAGTTATTTATTTATTTCTAAAATGTATTATTCAATTTTGTTCATGATACCATTGTATTTTTTATAAAGCCACTTACTTAAATCGCCCCCTTCCCCGTGAAATTTTACTCATCTATTTTTTTTTTCAACAAAGAAAAAATCATTCCATTTGAGAAATTTTTTATCATTGTCATATTGAATTATTAAAGGAATCCATATATATTTTTTTCATCCATTTTATTTCATTAAATTATGGTATTATGAATATAGATTTATGGAAAATATTGAAATAGATTTTAAATTTTTAAAAAAAACGTGTAAATATAAAATGGAATAAAAAGATGATTAATTAAAAAACAAAAAGAAAGAAAAAAGAAAACAATAAAATAATCAACAACGACAACAACAACAACAGCAAGAACATAAACGACAACAAAAGAAAAAAGAAAAAGATTTCCGGTTACAATAGATTAAAGTTAGTAGGAAGAGAAAGCAGTTTGTTTGTTTTTTTCTCAATCGATTTCATTGTTATTTTTGTTTAGTTATTATTATTATTTTTGTTGTTGTTGTTGTTATCGTTGGATTGACGATTTCTTTTTTTTATTTTATTTTTCTTTGATTATTTTCTTCTTCGTTTACCGTTACTATTGTTTAAATAATTCTATATAGAAATATGATTATTGATAATTGTTGTTTATATGATCACGTTTCTATGTGTTTTTACTTAGTTTATTATCTCTATGACAACGCAATACATATATATATATATATATATATATATATATATATATATATATATATAGAGAGAGAGAGAGAGAGAGAGAGAGAGAGAGCTGGAAAGAATTGCCGAGGATAGAAATTGCCGGTGGGTGGCCTATGCTCCTCTATGAAGAGTAACAGGTTTAAGGAAATAAATGTATATATAGTGATGAAGAGTTATCGATAGAATTACATATATATAAAAGTTTTGTTACTATTGTTATGATTGGTGACTCTTAACATGTAATTAACTAACGTTTAAAATTGAAGGTTATTTGTTTGATTTTTAGTTTCGGGATTTATGATATAAATAATATTGATGAATTCTACATTGTGGTGAAATAACTTTTTAGTGATTTTTAGTTTGTTTTTTTGTTAGTGGTAGTTTAGTTGATATTAATTCAAGATGTAAACAAATTGAGGCGAGACTCTAATTTATGGACGAACCAATCAGAGGCGTTTAAGAGATTTCAAGGTTACAGCGCCAACTTCAGTGCTTGATCCTAACGTAAGATCGGTTCACAGGGAATTTTGTACAAAACGTGATAATTGAGCAGCTATAACAAATAAAACGGTGGGACTATAATTTGTGGACGAATCAATCAAGTATAAGATAATAGATCTCGGATTTTGGAGTGAAAGCCTTTCATCCGTTTGGCTAAATAAATTTCTCGCATTACAGCTGATGTCAATTCGTGATGAAAACCCCATATATAATTCCTAACTAAGAGAAATTACGACAATTATTGCGAACTGGATAATAAAAGCACCAGTGACACTGGCTGCAGCCAGGTACTACATCATATACGGTTATTTGGAGAGTGTACAGACTCCTGCATAGGCTTGGTTATGTGCATCGTGTCGTTATCCACGAGTAGCATTTTGTGCACTCAACAACCGGAGTGCACATAAACAATATTGAAGCTATGTGGTCAAGATAGAGAGTTTTTGAGACTTTATCATGGCTCCAGAGGCCAACTATTCTGTAGCCTTATGGATGATTTTCTCTACCGCATGCATTACGATTTTAGAACCCCTTAACGTCTTTCTAACCTTGACAAATTTTTGAACCACGTATAAGAAGTGTATCCACTTTATTTCTTTGGTTTTGTATTACGTATTTTGACTCTACACTGACTGTTTGCTGATTGGCTAATATTTGTCAAGGTGGCTTAAGATTTGTTCAAAAGTAGTTCATAAATTATAGTCTCGCCTAAATCGCTTTACAGAAAGGGGTTTTATGGATATTATTGTAATTCTAATAGTTGAGATCATCAGTTAGTTTAAGCTAGATCACTATGGAAAACCTGGAAGCACTGGATGGCCGTTTTATCCTAGTATCGGACTCGTCAACAGTGCGCATCCACAATCCCGCCATGCGAGATTCGAACTCAGGACCTATCAGTCTCGCGTGCGAACGCTTAACCTTTAACCCACTAAGTCGGCATCCAACAGTGTTAACGTCTAGCTTCAACCAATTCACGAAATTGCGCCACCATCCACTATTGTCTTAAGCGAATTACTGTCTCACAACAGACCCGGTTGAACTCCACTGGTGGTCTGGAGGTTAAGCATTCGCTCGCGAGACTGATAGGTCCTGAGTTATTATCCTGCGGGACGAGGTCGTAGACATGTACTGCTGACGAGTCCCATACTAGGACGAAACGACCATTCAGTGCTCTCAAGTTTTCCATGATGGTCTAGTTTCAATTTACTTATGATCTCAACTATTAAGATCGCTTTATCTTAAGATATTTTTTTATTCGTTAAGAAAATTAGATATTTCTCACGTTTCGTATTCAAGTTTGAATTGATCTCTTGATCTAGACGTATATAGTTTGATCATTGAATTTATGAACTAAAGTTGTGAGGAGTTTAATTGTAGGTTGTTCAAAATATCCTATCTGTATTTGTATTGTTTAATACATCCCTAGAAATCAAACACTTTATATAATTCTTCAGTTCATATTTATGTCATCTCCCTATATGGTCATTATTTCTGTGTCTCGTCTTCAACTGTTCATCTTTGGAGTCATTACAGCTTTCGCTTAAGTGCTTAATCTACTTGGAGAAGCTGTTTTCTTTAATTCAAACGTAATGTAGAACTTGACACATTTGACATCGGTTCATTTTGTTGTACCTCATTACCAGCATTAGGTGGCAACAAGATTAATGGTTATCCAAGATACAATTTGAGAACAAAATATTGATTAATGGAGTGAAAGAATTGATAAGGAATCTAGGAACTCAGAATGTAAAGGAAGATAAGTAGTGAATGCATCTTGATCATTGAGAAATATTTCGTATCAAGTCTCTATAACCACTGATTACGATAACCACAAAAACCTCAAATAGACAGTATACACTATTAACATGGCTCAGCCTAATTGTCAGCAACTTCATGGACTGGTACGATGCTATGATTTGGGCGCCCTGAATTTCTCCTAACCTACTTCTACATCAAGCAACATTACACGTAGAAGTTTTCTGTGGATGGGCACACGTAAAATGTACTCCTACTTCCTCATTACCTTATCAATATATTTCCCATAATTACCTAGTACTCTGCATCTAACACCGAAATACTAACTTCACATTCTTTGATGCCCAAACAGTAGAAGTTGGTTTTCTTAAGAGGCCACACCTCGAGTTTTGATCTAAAGGTCTGATCCACAAGGCAGTGAAGTAACGTGAGGAGATGCAGCCCCATGGTAGCCTGTAGCCAATTATTGGTTCATACGCCATTTGTTCTTTCAGGATACTGGGGCCCATGTACACCATTGGTTTGGAATGAGGGTTTTTCAACTCTCCTAGATAGATCCTACATATCCACCAACCCAGTTAAAGCTCCGAACATTCGCTTTTTTCCTCTACATTTCGTAAACAACGCCGCCGCCATGAAAAGGGAGTGAGTAGGAAGGACTTCCCTGTCAGTGGTTGTATGCACGTGTCAAATTGAGAGTATTTTTAGAGGGAGAGCTGACTCTCCCCACTCTCAATTAATTGTACCAGGGCATTTGAATTAGTAACAGACGTAGGTAAAGAACTTTTCGACAGTACAATGTACTTATACAAATCCACAAGAGATTCCATTCAGAATTTATAGGTGCTTAACAACAAATCACTCCTTTTCTGTTATTATTGATATGAAAGAGAGAGAGATAAGGAGAGAAAAAAAAGAGAAAAGAAACACTTGGATCAATTTTTTATTTTCATAGTGTAAGATTTACATGAAAACCATAACATTAAACTAATACATTCAAGGCTAAATATAGTAAATTGTACAATTTTATAAAATGATATAGTTAAATTAAATAAATTAAATAATAAACAAATAATAATTAATTGACAACAAAATATTAAAAATTTATATAATGAAAAATAATTATTAGTATTAATATTAAAATGGTTGTTACTATGACAACTATAGAACAATAATAAAAATGATGATAATGACGTTGACTGTGATGATGAGGAGGAGGAGGAAGAGGATGAACAGCAGGTGGAAGAAGATGATGATTGAATAATATGTATTATACTAAATTGTAATAACCATATTGATGTAAATAATAAAATGAAAGTACTAGATATAATATGATTAAATTGTAAAATTGATGAATAATGTAAAAATAAACTAGAAATACTAAAATGAAAAAGAAAAAAAAAGAAGAAGATGATGAGAAATGAATAGTTGAAATGCATGAAAATGAATTATCTTATTATTTTTTTTAAAAGTTTAAAAAAGAATTTCTATCCATTTAAATCAATCAGTCAATGAATCAACAATAACAACAACAACTTAGAACTTTGTATAGACATACGTGTACTACTAAAGAGTCGCATACAATAATGAAACAATAATTCAATATACTTCTAAGTTTTCTATAATATTTTAACTTCATGAATTATTTCGAATAATCTTAACTATTAAAAATAACTATAATATCCACACATACACACATAAAAAAGGAAAATCCCTCCTGACTCATGATTTCAATCTGTGAAATTTCTAAAATCTCCACAAAACCCATTCTGATAATAATCAACTGCTCACTAGTGACTGACTTGAAGAAAAACTCCTGGAGTTCTAGTGAGAAGCCGTTACCAGTGGAGTTCAACCAGGTCTGTTGTGAGATAACAACTCACTGAAGACAATGGTGTACGGTGGCGCAACTTCGTGGATTGGTTGAAGTTAGACATTAACACCGTTGGATGCCGGCTCAGTGGTCTAGTGGATAATAATAATAATAAATATGAAAGATAAGTTGGGAAAAGAGTTCGCTTTTCGGTGAATTCATTTTCAGAGCTGTATAAACGTAATAGTTCAATAATCTGTTACTTTGTGAACACAGGTCATTCAATCAAAATAGACTCTGCGTTCGAAGTCATATACAAAGTAAGTAGAAAACTTTCAAAGACAATAAGACTTTATCTTTTTTGCATTGTCGAAGCATTAGACATATATTTGGAAGAAACAGAATTGTGTGTGTGCAAAAGCGATTGGTAAAACCTCTTTTTCTACCATGATCCTGATGTCTTATAACTTTTTCATACTCTTCTTCCTCAACAACCATCTGATTCACCTTCCATCTTCCCCTTATATCCTCTTAACCCCAACTGGTTTATTTTGTTTTCACGATCATTATGATTACATTTAATCTCAATTTCAACATTTTATCTTATCATACTGAGCTATACTTTCCCAATGATAATTTCCCTCACAATTGATTAATCACTGAGTGGTGATCAATGTCATATGTGTCAAGTCTTTCTTAGTGCAGATCGAATGCTATTGACTAAGTTGCAATATGACAACTAGTCTAGATGACTTGACATTGCGTGCACTATGTTGAGATAGAATGGTGGTTGAAGGTAGTCCACAGGAAACCCTGGACCTGGATTTCGTGCTACTTGGCACTCGTTAGCAAAATGTACCTGTAATCTTGAGGAAACTGATGCTCGCTGACGAACTTAGATGTACTTACAACCGATTCATCACTAAAGGAGGTCAGTCGCAGCCCGGATACTCAGATGGTAACTTCTTTGACTATGAAGTTGGATGTAAAGGGATCAGATTTGTCAAGGAGCTTCAGTTCCCACCTGATTACAGGTAAACTCTTATGACGAGTCCTCAGTAGTACGAATCCAAGGTTCCTTGTTGACTTCCTTCAACCACCATCTCTTTTGATAAAGACTTAGACTATCAACAATCAAATGATAATTAAACTTTCCTTGTTTTAAAAAGTTTTTTTTTCAATACCGTTGTTAATTTAACCTGTCACTATCACCATGTCTAACAGAAGTATATTATCAGTATTCTTATCATCCTGTAAAAAAATAAGTATATGTCTATATTTGCAATTGCACAGCTTTCAAAATGAATTCGCCGAAAAGGGGAGAAATCTTCTCTGAACTAATCTTTTTTATTTAATATCTTAATGGGTACATTGAGATGGTGAAGATTTGTAGCTGAGGTGGATGATTTTGATGGATTTTAGTTCTCTGAGCTGAATGGTTTGGTCGTGCGGCTTTCATCATTCTTCTAAACGACATCATCAGTACAAACTTCAGATAGAAGTGAAGTGTTGGAATTTATCCATATGCGTTTCACAGCTTGTTCTGTACACCTCAACGTTGATTGCTCCTTATTAACCTTAAATTTGTCATTGTTTACTTCTTTGTTTTGCTTGTGTCTCCCATTGGTTTGATTTTTGTTCCTATATTTGTGCATGATTGGTTGATAAATTGGATTGATTTCAATATGCTTGTTGATTGCTGATTGATCTGAGTACCAGGCTTCTAAAAATTCTCTAGTGTTTTTGGAGTTTCCTCTGTCTAAGATTTTCACATTTTTTTCAATCGAATGAGTGTCCACAGTTGTCCACGTGTATTGATATAAGTGAGGAAATATCATGACGTTTGACTACTAATTGATGTTCACGTAGGAGAGGGTGAAGGAGGAGTCTGCTTTGTCCGATGTAGTGTTTTTCACAGTTGACGATGATGTTTTATTTGTTTTCGAACACTTTACTTCTAATTGAAGTTTGTGCTGATGATGTCATTAAGAAAAACAATGAAAACTTCATGACTAAACCATCTAGCTCAAAGAACAAAACTTCATCAAAATGAATATATTCCATTTACTCAAATAATCAATATAACTATGATCATCTGGGTTTTTTTAAAAAAAAAACTCATCTTTAGATCCCCTATAGTAACAACACACATACACCACACACACACACACCAACATACACACATTAAATTGTTTAACTCACTTATAATCCAATAATTGAATTCTTTCAATAAATAATATCCAATCATTTAACATTAATAAATTAATAATCAATAATAAAATAAATAAACGACATTTAATTAAATAATATAATTTTAATTGATATTTTATCATTTGATATTGATTATTATTATTATTATTATTGATTAATTGAATCAATCGATTATTATTATGATTACATAATGATTTTTGTATATTTTTGATATAATTTTGTTGATCAAATAAAATATTCTAAAATAAAAAAAGAAAGAAAGAAGAAACTGAGAGAAAAATCGATAAATGAAAATCATTTATTAAAATTTGATAAATAAAAATAAAATGATTTTAATCATTTAGATCATGAATTAATTGATGTAGTTAGAACCATCATAGAAAATATAGAAACATTGAATAATTGTTTCATTATATTATGGAACTCTTTAACACTGTGTGTATCCACGATGCAGAAACCAACCCCTCCTCACTTTCATTAAAATCATTATATGTTCATTAGTGGCTGGCTTTAAGAGGTATTTCCTGAAGTTTCAAGTAAGAAGATTGTTGGGGACGATAGATCCCCAAACTCATATTTTTAAAATTTTATCGCATCAATCAACTTATTGATTAAATGTTTAAACATTTGTATTGGGGTCATTTGATGAACTGATCGATTAAATATTTGTATAGCAGTCAGTTGATGAACCTACCAATTAGATGTGCAAATAGGTCAATTGATGAACTATCGATTAAATGTGCAAATAGGTCAATTTATGAACTCATTGATTAGTGTTTAAAATTTTCCTATGACAATATCGATTGTAAATATTGTATAAATACGCTTGAGTTGTGTGTTTGACTTGACTTGTTATCTGCTGTGTGTCTGCAGAATACACTTCTACACCTTACCCAGACTTCTTGATCGAGTTAGCAGAGTCGGGGACAACAAACCAGAATAGCTATCGAGTCACTGAGTCACTGATCCTTCGTTCCGTTGAGTAAGACGCACCAGTAATAGCATTCAAGCGAATAACAAATCATAACAAAGATGTGATCAGTGGAGTTTAACCAGGTCTGTTCTGAGATTGCAACTCAGTGAAGACAATGTTGGATGGTGGCGCAATTTCGTGGATTGGATGCCGACCGGCCGTTTCTTATTAGTATAGGACTCTTCAGAAATCCGGATTCATATTCTCAACGTGGTAATTTTGTTTTTATATACAACCTATTTAACAAAGATGGATAGTGGCTAGCACTGGAATCCAGTTTGACGCGCGTTTCGTTCTATTTGGGACTCGTCAGCTAGATGTACCTGCATCACATTGCACAAGCAGGTGGCTATCACGACTCAGAAACTAAGTGGATAACGCGATGGCGTTTGAAGTGAACGGTACTGGGTTCGAGTCCCGGAGTGAACAACAACTCTGGGATGCAGGTGCATCCAGCTGACGAGTCCCAAATAGGACGGAATGCGCGTCAAACTGGATTCGACTGCTAGCCACCATCCATCTTTGCTAAAAAACCTTGTGACTTAAGGTCATACCGAGGAAATCCGCACAGGATGCACATATGCAAACATGAGACAGATCAATTGCAGTCGTAAATAACAATGGGAAGATACAAGTAAAACAACACCAAGTGAATCTATTTGACAAAGTTTAGATTTATATATTACAGTTTAAGATAATGAATTATTTATTCGACAATTGATGATATTCCTCAATGATACTTAATAATTCAAGTGTTTTTTTTTTAGAAATCTATATAGTTCAACATTTTTTTAAATGCACAATATACTTAGAATGTTAATATGATATCTGAGTAGTAGTAAGGTTAAATTAATTCATCTTTATCATCACACTACTGATTTAGATGTCAGTAGTATAAAAGATTTCCCATCTGAGAGATTATCTGATACTATTTGGTGATGAGTATTTCACTCTGTTAACATGTTTAAACTCTATTGATTACAAATTATATTTACATTACTTCAGTTACAAGATGAATAACACAATATTGAATTATTGAATTAATGAATTCGAGATTAAAATAATTTCCAACTTGTATTTCAACTAATTCGTGATCATCATCATCATCAGACAAGAGACTGAAGGCCCTGGGTTGGAATTCCGCGAGGCGAGATCGTGGATACGCACTGCTGAGGAGTCCCACAATAGGACGAAATGGCCATCCAGTGCTTCCAGGTTTCCAACAGTGGTCTAACTTCAATCGGTTCATGATCTCAATAAAAAAACATAACAATCTCCACAACCCCTAAACTGATAAGATTATTATTGGTTGGATCAGAACTGTTTTATTCTTGGTTGAATGAACACAGAACAAGTCAATAGATAATTAAAATGAATAGTTAAATAAACAAAGTTTTGGAATAATGACAATGATAAAAATAATAATGATAGTAACAATAAATACAATCATAAATATTATTACTTACATTCATCAATAATAATAAGCTGAGTAAGAGAACAGCTAATGATTCAGTTAATAACCAAGCAATAGATAGAATAAACAATGTTGAAATATTCATAATCCATGTAGAAGATGAAATACTGAAAATAAATAGATGATTGCAAATTGGGAATTGGGGAATAGGGAGCAAGGGGGATAGAGAAAGAAAGAGGGTGGTGATAAGCGGATAGAGTTAGCAATACAAAAAAAGTACTCAGTTATATCCTAACAAATATCAATATACTAATGTGCATGAAGCAAAAATTAGCATATATGTCTGTAACATATGCGCTAAATTTTTGTTACTGTGCTATGGATTAAGATATTACTCCAGTTGGAGATAATCGACAAGAAACTATTTTTGACCCAGGTTTCTGTCTATTTGACACTCGTTAGTAATCAGCCCGAACAATTAAATGGTAACGTCTTACATTGCGAAAACAGATTATGTGGATTCAAATATCATTTAAAATGTGGTTATAAAAATAATACACATGACACTAGGCGATCAACTGTAGGTTCACCTCAATTAAATTATAGATCATCCCATGCAATGAATACATTCTGATAGCATATTCAACTCTGCCTGGAGCCCCTTTGGGGCTATTGCCGGTCCCAAGTTCGGATAAAGGAGGATGGTAGGGCATACCGTAGAAAACTAACTCGTTAGAAAAAAACGTTTACCAGAAAAAATAATTCAAACCATCTAAACTCCGTCCTAGGAGTTAGAAGGTCTTAAATTAGAATAGCTATGACGTCTCATGGTGAAAGCCAAGTTCCTTTGGAAGTTATGAGACTAATGCCTCTTTTGACAAACAGAGCAGCTATTAATTTAGGTACATGGAACGCTCATATAATGCGAGACATCGAGAGAGTCATCCATATTGTTGATCACATATTTGCTTTGAGCTACTCTGCAGACTACCATTGGTAAAATGCTTTCTTCTTCTGAACTGAACACAAAGATTTAACTGCTATTTCTGTTAAGAAAGATTACAGTTTTACTTCAATTAATTTATTTTGTGGTTCGTTTTCGTAGATACAAAAGTATGAAATTCATCCACATCTTAACTGACCTATATGAAGTAGGTTAAAAATCCAACTTGGAATAAGTTTTGGCGACTTATGTGTTTGGCTTAGAGACAATTTTTTTCTTACCACCATCGATGCCAGTTGGAGAGTTAATATCATACTATTGACGACTACTGACTGTAACAAAATGTAAGCCATTTCTTTAGTATTCGCCATGAAATTTGTATTTTGAATCGACACTATTAAAAAACTTTCAAACTAGGAGCAAACAGCTGTCTTTTAACCCTTATGATTGTTTAGCTGTTATCCCTTGATTATAATTGAATAGGTGTTCGAGTGTGCACACTGTGATGATACAATCGAGTCACATTGGCTGATATACAATAAGACTTACAGCAAAAAACTTTGAGCTACAAAGGTGAAGTCGTATCATTGACTGCAATAGACAGTGATGAGAGTACGATGTTTTCCTTAGGCAAGCAAGAACTGCAGGGATGCGACCTTCCCTCTTAAAAACACCACATTTTATCTTTTACTATAAGTTACCGTAGCCTCCAACAAGACCTAGATAATACGAAACGAACACACTAAGTACTACTTATAAAAAAGTCACATGCAACCGACCACAATTCAGTTTCTTTTTGAGTTCAGCAATTATGCTCCCAAGTCTAAGGTCTTTTTTCAAATATCTCAACACGAAGTAAACAAATGAATAGTAACAACACCCACATTCATATTCTCAAATAGTTACTTACTTACGCCTGTTACTCCCAATGGAGCATAGGCCGCCAGTCAGAATTCTACAACCCACTCTGTCCTGAGCCTTCGTTTCTGGTTCTATCCAATTGTCGTTCATTCTTCGCAAATATATCTCATTTCTCAGCGTAATGTGTTCTATGGACTTTCTCATTTGCTTTAACCTTGAATATTCTAACTGGGGGATCGCATTGTGACGCGGTTGGGTGCCTTCCTCAATGTGTGGCCTACCCACATCCATCACTTCTTCCTGATTTCTTCCTTTACTGGGATCTGGTTTGTTCTCTCCCATAGTAGATTGTTGGCCAACAGATCCGAAATATTTTGCGTAGACAACTGTTAATAAACACTTATATCTTCTGGATGATGGCTTTCGTAATTCTCCAAGTTTCCGTCCCATACAGTAGAACTGTCATGACATGTGTATTGAAAATTTTGACTTTGGTGTTGGTTGACAGTTGTTTTAAGTTCCAGATGTTCTCCAGTTGTAGATATGCTGCTCTTGCTTTACCGATCTGCGCTTTATACATCTGAATCAGATCCACTATGTTCATAAATGATTCTGCCTGAATGCGTAAAGGTTTTTACATCTCACAAAACTTCGTCAAGTGTGATTCGATTGCTGCATGCTGCGTTGTATCGGAGAATCTTGCTTTTTCCTTTGTGTATGTTGAGACCTACTACTGCTACACTGGTCGTCTTCTATTGGATTTGTTGTTGCGTTTGCGATAGAAGAGCCAGATCATTTGCGAAGTCTAAATCGTTCAGTTGCACTCTAGCTATCCACTGTATACCATGCTTCTCCTCGCATCTTGACGTTTTCATGATCCAGTCGATCACCAGATGAAAGAGAAAGAGTGAGAGTAAGCAACCTTGCCTGACACCGGTCTTTACTTCGAACGAATTTGTCAGTTGTCCTCCATACACGATTTTGCAGTTTAATCCATCATGGGAATTCTGTATGATATTGACTATCTTGTGAAGCACGCTATAGTATTGAAGAAGCTTCCATAGTGTTGTTCTGTCCATGTTATCAAATACTTTCTCGTAGTCAATGATTCTCAAACAGTACTCCATTGTCCTATTACATCATCATCAATATAACTCAGTTAAAAAAATAATAAACAAAAACTTTTTCCAATTTAATCAACATACATAACAAAGAAGAAGAAAAAAGAACAAATACTTACAAATTATCATTATGTTTCATTATAGGATAATTATTTCGATGAATGACTTGTGATGATGATGATGATGATGGTGACAATGATAATAAGAATAAAAATCCTTTATCAATAATAACATTTAATAATGGTATTATAAATCCATATGGTATTGATATAATCAATAATGGTAAATGATTTAAAATCAATATTAAATTATTAGAAAAATCAATAAATGATAATAATTTAATTGTATGAATGAAACGTAAACCAAGTTGTCCAATTTGTTGTAATTCAATCCATTCAGAATAACTAATTGAATAAAGAAATAAAAATGAAGATATACAATGATATCTTAGTAAAATATAAGAACAATAGTGTAAATAATTCATTTGTAAATCTTCTATCAATTGTCTTTTATATTCTGTTCGGTTGTTTGAATTCATAATTTATTCTTATTTCTATTTCCTTTAATCCGATCTTTTTAGTCTTCTGGAGCTACTTAATACTTAAGTTTGTCGACATAAGTAACATACACTGTAGTACAAGGAAGCGTAAAACATATATATGCCACATAAATTATTCGATGTGTGAGGGATGGAATACTGCGCAGGTGCCTAAATCGAGACAGAGGGTTTGCTTAATGGGTCAAACCCCGAGCCTTTGACGTAAAAGTCTAGTCCATAAGGCAGTAGAGCAATGTCAGGAGATGCAGTCTCTTGGCAGTCGGTGACTGACAATAGGTTCACACTTTATATGTTCCCTCAGGATGCTTGAGCCCATATGCACCATTGGTTTGGAATGAGGGTTTTACAACTCCCCTAGGTGGATCCTCCATATCCACCAACCCTGTTAAAGTGCCGAACATTCACTTATGGTCCTCTCAATTTCGTAAACAACAGTAATGTCGCGAAAAGACAGTGAGTAGGACTTCTCTGGCAATGGCTGTATACTCATGGTCATGTGAGAATATTTCGAGAAGGAGAGCTGACTCTTTCCTTCCTTGACTGTACAAGGGCATATCTATCTAATATACAACATACGAATTAAGATTCTAAACATTTTGTTCCACAACATATAGAGTATATTAGTTTTATCCCCTTTAAAATAGACATTTATAATAAAATACTTATTAAACTTCTATTTCCATTCTTCAAAACTTTTATCGGAACTCCTAATAAATTAAATTCTTCAGTTTTATTTTCCAGTTTCGTACAATGAAATTGTACACTCATCTTTTTAGGTAACATGAAAATTAAGTACAGAAAGATTGAACATTTACAATATTCTATGTTTTAGAATGAAAACTATTTTGTAACTGATGGATAGTGGCTAGCAGTAGAATCTAGGACGCACGTTTCGTCTTATTTTGGGACTCGTCAGCATACGCACAGTATGCACATATGCCAATAACAGACTGATCAATTGCAGTCTTAAAATCTCAATCGGAAGATACAAGCCAAACAATACCAAGTGTATTTTGTAATCGGTTAAATTATCTTAGAGGATACAGCGAATGACTAACTTCAACGAACAAACCAGCTTCATAGAAATAACTGAAGTAATAAATGAACATTCTCTTAAGGCTATATCGAGACAATACGCACAGTATGCATATATACCAATAAGAGACTGATCAATTGCAGTCCTAAACATCAATGGGAAAATTCGAACAAACAATATCAAGTGAATTTAAACTTCACTCCATTGCACAAGCAAGTGATTATCAGGACTCAGTAGCTAAATGGATAACGCGTTGGCATTCAAAGTGAACGGTACTGAGTTCCAGTCTCAGAGTAAACATTAACTCTGAGATGCAGGTACATCCAGTTGATAAGTCCTAAAATAGGATGAAACGCGCGTCAAACGGGATTCCACTACTAGCTACTATCCATCTTTACATAATAAATGAACCCTAAGTCATTCTTAATAATTTAATCTTCTATAGCTCCATATAAAAGATTGATTATGATAGGTAAGTTGTTGTATCAAGATTTATTAAGTAATATATCACTTCGATTGATTTTCTCTATATTGGTATTCAAGTACATTACAGGTGAATATATTCTTGAAATATATAGTTAATAAATAGTAATTTTCCACAGAATTAATTACATGAATATCTTCGTGGACAGCGAGTGAAACCTTATTATTTTCTTATGATTGTTATTTTTTGTGATATCTCAATGAGAAAATTGTATTCCTTACGTTTTTTAGTTGAAGGGATTCGACAGGAAACCCTATTTTACTGGACTTAGAGTTTCGCGTCACCTAGATTTACAGTCCCGACCGTTGTCGCTACCTTGACGTGGTGGTCGGGCTTGCCTATCGTGATGAAGCAACCGAGCTATACTGGCTGGAACAACCGTTCCTCAAGGTCCTACCATGTCAGACAGGTCGGTTGAAGAGCGGTAAGACTAAAAGCAACAAACCTAAGGTCCGAAGGCGAAGTCGTACTGCTGACTGTACAGAGGTGTGACAGCAGTAAGGTGTTTCCTTCAGACAACCAGCATGACAGCGATGCTGCCTTCCCACAAGGAGGGGTGGGGTTAGAAAAGGTCGACCCTAAAAATGTCATACCTCACCTTACCTCACGGATTTCCGTCTCCGGCGGTAAGGCTCTTTGAAGAACGGAGCTAACATGTCAAAAACCTTCCACAAAAAGGCCGTGCGCGACCGGCCTCAAGCAGTTGTCCCTTGGGCTCTGCGGTCACGCTCCCAGGTCGTCAAGACCAACACTAATCCAATTTCCTTTTCAGGTTCCTCAAGAAATACCCTTCCACGGTGTGGGCAACCGGGAAGTGATAACTGCCCTCATACCTCTAACAGCACTCAAGACCACTGGATTTACAGTCAAATACATTATCACTAAGGAGTTCAATTGACAACTAAAGTCATATAGATCTGAGATGTACGTCCCTGTCTATGAAACTAGACAACGTAGGGTCATAAATGCGCCAAGCAAAATCAGTTCCTTCAAAGTTACAAGTACATTTTGTTGAAGAAAGTTAGATAGCATGAAAAGTATGTAGAACAGAATATCGTGTCAACTTCCTTCAGCTATCATTATCTTACATCTCAGCATAGTCCACGTGAAATCGAGTTACTTAGACTAATGGCTGGTGAATGGCAACTTGCTCTATAAAACTTGATTAACACTAAAATGAACTTGACATAGATGATACTGGTCACTATACAATGTTCAGTTAATTGTAAACTTAATTCTATGGCTATAAAGAATAGAAAAATCAATTACATATTTTAAAATGATAATTTTATACAATGAACACAGTTTCTATCCAAAAATTAAACCCATTTTACAATTTCTCAAAACACTTCAGGCTTAAATAGTAACAATAGTCCCCATTCCATTTTCAAGGAATGAGATAGAAACCATTGATGGGTTGTTTAATGGCATAAAAGACATATACATGTAATTTGAATAATCAAATAAACTTTCTACCCCAAAATTTGTCTTTAATCTAGAGTAGAGCGAATTATGTGTATAGGAAGAGTGAATATGAATATTAGATATTGGACATTGGGTGTCACAACAGTATACACATTGTAACTGCTTTTAAAAAAAATACATAAATACATATACATTATATAAGTGATAACTTACGGTAAAGATATTAGTTGAAAACTCAGAAAATGTAGTAAAACAACAGCTTGATGATAATATATCTCACGAATTATTGATAAGAAGTTATGATGAGAGATTGGCAAGAAATGATCTAAAACATATTTGTTTTCAACAACAACAAAAATAATATCAGAAGAGGTCTTGTGGATATTATGGTAATTTTAATAGTTGAGATCATAAGTCAACTGAACCTAGACTACCATGGAAAAACTGGGAGCACTGGAAAGCCGTTTCGTCGTAGTATGAAACTCCTCAGCAGTGTGTATCCACAACCCCACCTCGCGAGACCAATAGATCCTGAGTTCGAATCTTTCGGGACAGGATTGTGGATGCGCACTGCTGAGTCTTATAATAGAATCAAAAGGTCGTCCAGTGTTTCCAGGTTTGCCATGGTGGTCTAGCTTCAATTGACACATGATCTCAACTATTAAAAAATAATAATAATAAATGAATCTATTAAAAAGAATTCATAATATCATATATAAAAACAAAGTGAATTTCAATAGAATTGAAAAATGTTTATTTTTCATTAAAAATGTAAAATCTTTGTGAAAACAGGACAATAAGAAAGATGGATGATAGCTAATAGTGGAATTCAAGATGCGAGTTTCATCCTATATGGGACAGAATGAATATCAACTCTCGGATGCAAGTACATCCCAGCTGATGAGTCCCAAAATAAGACGAAACGTGTGTCCTGCATTCCATTACTAGCCACCATCAATTTCTGTTTATAATGCTTGTAACTTAAGGTAATATCAAGGCCATTCGCCCAGGATGCATATATGTCAATAACAGACTGATCAATCACAATCTAAAACATAAATGGGAAATATCAAGTAAACAATACAAAAATAAATTAGGACAATAAGAAGTCTTATTAAGATAAAAGGTATTTGAGATTATTCAGTTTGAAAATTGTTTATAACAGAAATTGATCAAAAAACTACTAAATAACTAGAGAACACTGGAAAATCATTCCATTCTATTATAGAACATGTCGATGATAACCTTGTTAAACATTGATGTTACAACATTGTGTGTTTTGGGGGTTTATGCATTACTTGATTGAAATGATTACAGTGGTTGAATTGATCCTTTTTTAAATACTAGATGAATATTTATCGACGCACTTAAACAACTATACAGTAAAGATACTTAATAATTAATGAGTTAGAAAGATAAAATCCCATTCATTTCTGCCTGTCAAATCATCAGACATTAATTAATTTTCAAATGTAAACAGAACAAATTAAGTGATCAAGATCATTTTCTGCCGATAAAAAAACATATTCTATGATCTTCACTTTTAAAAGCTTGAACAATAAAAACACATGGTTTAAAAGTAAAATTTAAAAAGAAGCAGTGACTAGTGGAGTTCAATCGGGTCTGTTGTGAGATTGAAGACACTAGTGGATATGTCGCTCAATTTTGTGGATTCGCTGAAGTTAGACATTAACACTATTGGATGTCGGTTCAGTGATCTAAAGGTAAGTCGTTCGTGCGCGCGACTGATAGAATCTGGATTCAAATCTCGTGGTGTGGGATGGTGGATGCGCACTGACGAGGAGTCCTACGATAGGACAAAATGGCCACCCAGTGCTTCCAGGTTTTCAATGATGGTCTAACTTCAATTGACTGATGATCTCAAACATTAAAAATAATTAGTTGCTCAATTGGTCCGATATTCAATTTTCGATACTAGAACAATTGATAATTATGATAATTGGTGTTTTTTTGTGTAATGATAAGTCAGTCAGTCAGTAACAACGTAGAACTTCGTACGTACGTACATCAGTTCGAGTTGCCACACCACCTTAACACAGAGATGCAGTTGTCGATCCAAATCCCGTAGTGGTAGAGGTAGCAAGAGTGTAAGCAGTGATCGGGAAGATTAGGGTTTGAAGATGTTATCCAAGGAGTATAATCCAATGAAATAAATTTGAGAAGAGAAAAACGAGACAAGGAGGAATCAGGAGATTAGAATTTGGGAGAACACAAAGAGTGTATGCACCTGCGCCATTGCAAACGATTTTGAGCCATGTCATTCAAGGTCTCTAACCATCGGTTGCTACCGTCTCGCGGTCCCCAACCAGGTAGTCTACACCTATCAACATGACTCAGACCACTTGTCAATGACTTCATGGACTTGTGCCATGTTTTTGTCTGACCGCCCCTAGCTTTCTTCCAACCTACTCATACACCATAAATCGTCGCACGTCGGGGCAGTCGGTGGCTGTGCATACGTAACACGTGTCCCAGCCATCTCAACTGATGAAGTTTCACTACTTCATCAATCGACTTGCCACCCTTACCTAGTACCCGTTTCCTAACAACTGTGTTACTTACTCGATGGTCCCAGGATATATGAGCAATGTTTCGAAGACACCTACGATCGAATAATTATTCCAGTAGTATAACTGGTGAATGTAATGTGCAAAAGCCTTCAAGAATGTATACCAAGGTTCACTGAAGCATTGGCTACACAGAAACTGAAACTCCCTTCATGCGTTCAAAAACAATTTGTCCTTACCCTTATCCAGAGTAGTTATCACATTGTTTTTCTATACTGTGTTACGGTTTACCTTTAATCTGTCCAGTTAACTTTTTAATATTCATTTATATTAATGTTCTTAACAAGTATATTATGTATGATCAGATTGTTCGAAATGTATTGCGTTAATATATCACATAATTCTGATAAACTTCATCTTCTTATTTCATTATCCGAATGTAATATAAGTGAATAAATTGAAATTCCCAAAAGGACAATTGCTGTTTGATTCAATTAGCTAATTAAAACTCCTTCCTTATTGATTCCATCGTTTTTTTTATAGAATAATTGAGGTTGTGTACACGAAAAGTGAGTGTTCTAGTATCAAGGATCGCAAGTGACAATATACATGAAATTTCGTCATGAGAATTAAAACAATCGAATTACTGATTGATGAGTAAATAATGACCCATATTATTGTTTATTTAGTTTTTCAATGATGATCGAATTCTATCAACAGATCAGTAGTGATTAAAATAGTTCTATGGTTTCTATGTTTGAGGCGATTACGAGTTCACCTGGTCTGAGAACAGAACAAAGACTCTGTGACCAAAGAGCAATAAGCTAGCTACACTTATGCGTCCAAGTACAGCTAACTGGAAAGAGAAGCCCAAGTTCGAGACGGGGAAATATATTCCGCAAGCAACCAGAAACATGAGCAATCACAACAAGCACAAATCAAACGTATATTTACAGCAAAAAATTGTCTATGAAAAGCGTTACAAAATAGCATACTAAAAGATACAACGAACCAATAGCGTTTAAGATTCTCCCAAGTAGGAAATACGACATGAAGATGAAAATGGACGCTTTTGGCGCGAAAACAAGAAGATTCAAAATTTTAAAATAAAATTACAAAAATAAGGTGTTTACCAAGTGAGTTCTGGGGAAGTAATATCCCAAACAGTGGTAATATCTTACAATCAGAAGTTCGAATCCTTGTTGATGAAAAACACATTAACTAGCATGAAACCTTAATTTACTCAAAAGTATTCTATACCAAATAAAATTATAATAGATAATGTAATCGTCAAACTATTTAAAAATAAAAACCATAGCAACTTTGATACAACTAATTATTGAACTTACTTTCATTAAATGAAATTAATCGAAATGTTAATATAACTAATGATAATACTAAATGTCCACATAGTAATCCACCAAAATGTGTACAATGAAGACGAATCAACTATAGTTTTTTTTAACGAAAAAAAAGAAGAGAAGAAATGAATGATGAAATGAAAATTTTATAATTTATTAATAAGTGTAACCCAATGAAACCACATAGAAACAATGATAAACTAATGCCGGCTCAGTGATCTAAAGCTTAAGCGTTCATGTGCGAGACTGATAGGTTTTGGGTTCGAATCTCGCGGGGCGGGATCATAGATACGTACTGTTGAGGAGTCCCATAATAGGATGAAACGGCCATCCAATACTTCCAGTTTTTCCATGATGGTCTAGCTTCAATTGATTCACGAATACAACTATTAAAGTTACAAAAATCTACACAACCCCCTTATGATAATAATCTCGTAAAATAAAAAATAAGTGATAAATACACAAGATATGAATTGGTTTCAAATGTTGAGAAATGAGAACTTCCACATACACACAACATGGAAAACAGATGTATCACATGAATATAAAGTATGGATCTGAACAGTTCAAAATTATGCCTTTGAAAAAAAGAACATACGGATCAACAACTTAATGGGATTAAGAATATATGATACTTTTCTTTCAAGCTATTAATGTCTTTGATAAAGTTAGCAACAGACAAATCAAACAAGGGAAGATGTTTAAATCATTTTAATCACTGAGATATGTATCAAGATAGATTAAACATTTGTATATAATGTGTAAAGGTTTAAACTTTTTAGTTATTGATAGCAACTAACTATCAATCATTCTTATATTGATAGATGTACATTTTGATTAGATTGTCTCAATATTAACATTTTAACACAGATTCCATTTTGATAAATTATTTCACTTAATATCAACAGTGAAAATACTTAAGACTTTATGTTTATTAATTTCAAAAGGGCGTTTTGTGGAGATTTTAGAAATTTTAATAGTTGAATTCATAAGTCAAATTAAAGATAGACCACCATGGAAAACATGGAAGCACTGAACGGCTGTTTCTTCCTAGTAGTATGAGACACCTCAACGGCACGCATCCATGATCTCGAACCCAGAACCGATTGGTCACACGTGTGAATGCTTAAATTCAGTGGTTTATAATTTCGTTGCCTATTGAACAAGTTAATAATTATTTGAATTTAGTAAATTAGTGTAAAGTGCACTGTTGTTTAAAGCTAAAAAGCATTGAATATCCACACTAATTCAGGTATATACAATTAACTAACCAGGGTTAAATAAATATCCTAGATCAAACTGATAGACACAAATAAACTTTACTGAATATTTCCATCTACTCATTATCAGATCTCTAAATTAACGCTATACATATGTATAATTTAAAGTTCCTGTTGAAAGGATCCAAGAGAAATTCTCAAGTGAATATGACTATAATAATTAGTTTCAGTTACTTTGCTAAGATTCATTATTACGTCCTTGATCTGTCTACCCACTTTTGGTGCTGAGAATAACTTGTCTAATCTAGATTAAAACCTTGACGTGATAGGTTGACCGGCTTAAACTTGAGGCTAATACACATGAGTTCGAAGTAGGGTAGAGAGAGAGAAGAAAACTATTCCATCACCTGATTGGTTGACAAGCACGCGAATGAGAGAAGACAAGACAACTGGAACACTATTCACTCTATTCCGATATACTGATTTCCCTGTGAAATCTCTGAATTCACATTAGCGCAAAAAAGTACATGAATAAATAGGTAACTAACCCGACCACAACGTACAATAATTAGGAAAAATACAATTATGTCCAAAGCTCGGAATTAGAGTAGAAAATAGGGTGCAAAATATTATGTTTAAATGACAATAGCTTCGTAACAGAAAAGGAGTATGGCAATGAATCATACATCGAATAAAAGCTTATGTTCTATAGAATAGATTAAGGATGAAAATAAATGTCAGCGTTTTACAAGCTTTCCATAAAATGAAATAAAGTTCCGAAAAATAACTTTCATAGTTTGTTAGGGCTTCTTGTTTCTCTGTTCACACCGGTCATAGAAACACGTTGGAAAAAAAACAACAACAAACAAACAGACAATTTACGAAATTCAATACAAAAAACAAGAAAAAATCTTTGAAAGAAAAAATAAATAAAGAAAATTGATTAAAAATATTAATTTTTAAATACTGACCAATCAGCAACAAATATTCTTTCTGCCTCAAGGTCATCCAATGAACCAATCACAATCGAGATGAAATGAAACTTTCATTCTAATCAACTAATGATAATGATTGCAGTATGTTGGTTCAACAATTAGCCAAAATAGTTAATAGTAGTATGAGGGAATTTATCAGGAAATTATTGTGAATAAATTATAGTAAGTTAAATTGATTTTAATCATTTAAAATGATTATTTTTATTGTCAGAAAAGGGAATTTTTGTGTGTGAATATTATTTGTCACTTTAATAGTTAAGTTCCATAAATTAATTGAAGTTAGACCACCATATCATGGAAAACTTGGAAGTACTGAATGGCTGTTTCGTTAGGAGGCGGGAACCTCCACAGAGATATGTCTTAATATAACTAATTAATTAATTGTATGAATAAGTTTGATTTTAAGTTAAACAAAACGAGATTATAATGGGATGGATTATTTTTTGAATAATAATTGTTTTTAATTTATAAATAGACAAATGAAACAACCATTTAGTAGTTTCAGGTTTTCCATAGGGATCTAGCTTCAATTGACTCATAAATTCAACTATTAAAATTACTGTAATCATCACAAGAAACTCCTTTCTGATAAGGATTTATAAACTTTTTCGATTGTTATAAATTAATCACAGGTGAATATGATTATTCATTTTTTGAGGGTAAATTACCTCTTTAAGTCGGCATTGTTTCGACGTATAACTTATATCTACAGTGCTTTTGAGATGGTGGAGATTTATAGCTCAGGTGGATGATTTTGATGAAGTTTTGTTCTTTGAGCTGGATGGTTTGGTCGTGGAGCTTCAGATAGATCTGAAGTTTTTGCTGATGATATTGTTCAGAAGAACGACGAAAGCTCCACGATCAAACTATCCAACTCAGAGAGCAAACTACATCAAAATGTACAGTGTTTGTTATATTTTTGAATTGTAGCTACAATTCAAAACCAGAAAGCGTACTAGCATACCTGTTAAGTAAGTCAGTTGCATACATAACTCATTAGTTTAGATAAATAATAAGTTTACGCTTGAACAGATAAACATTAGATTTGAGTATTAATGTAATAAATTAATGTAATGATACCCAAGATATATTCACTTGATAACTGGATTCCACTTCTATCTAATAAACAAAAGTATGGTATTCGCTAATAAAAATAGTTCTTTGTAACCTGATGGAAAAAGGGTTGGTAGTAGTTTATAAGTAGGACATTGAAGGTATTGTATTGATTTGTCCTTATGTGAATACGTTAACATAAAATGGTTCTTGTTACCAATTAATACGTATAAGATAAATCTTGAAATAGAAAATGCATAAAATATTGAAACTCAATTCTTCTATCCATTATAGTTAGAAACATATTGAAGAAGTATCGAATGATTGTTACACTATTGTTTGAGACTTTAATCTCAGAGTTTTAATTAATTCTCTGTCTGATGTCATACTTGAATAAAAACAATAGTTAAATGATTCTAAATATACTCGAAATAACATAAATGAAGAATTTATAGGTTAGAATCTTAAATCATAGATTATCATTGCTTAAGATAACTTATTTGAGCATCTGGTTACCTAAAGATAGTCAGTCAGCTACAACGTAGGATCAGGCACATACATGCATCGGCCCAACTTGCCATACCTCATTAGCACTACAAGATGAACATGAAATTGATAGAAACAGTCACTTCAGTGGTAGTAATATATAAAAGAAAGACTGCTTGTATAGTAAAGAAAGAAAGAATAAGTTCGTAGAAAGAAAGATATGAAGCGATTTTAATCTCATAGTTTAAGGGAAGACAAACAGTGTATATACCGACGCCATTATGATGAATTCTGAGCCTTGTCACCCAGTCTCCAACCATTGGTTACGAAAGTCACGCGGACCCCAACCAAGTAGTCTGCATCTACCAACATGGCTAAGACTAGAAGTTAGTGACTTCAAGCACTGATGCCACGTTTTGGTTTGGCCACCTCTAATTTTCTTCCAACCGTGTCCAACACTAGTGAGCATTGCGCGTGGTGGTAATCGGTGTTTAGACATATGCAACACGTGGCCCAACCATCTCAGTCGATGAAGATTCACAACCTCATCAACTGATTCACCATCATTCCTTAATATCTAAAAGATAACTAACAAGTGAGTAATACTGAAATCAAAGATATAAAACAATACATGGGAATGATTATGATTGGTAGATAATTCTAAATAGTATCCGCCAACTAAACATTTTGGCACATACTTCATTCTTAACTACTTACAGTCCAACTGAAAGTTTTAGCTAAATTTTGTGCCTCAGTAGTTCAGTTTTAAGATACATATACTCTTACATTACCACCTCAAAATTATCTACATCATTTTGGTCATTGTTTCTCTATTAGATAATATATATTCTATTCTTCAATCGATATGTTTGAGTTGAAAATATTGCGTCACCTCTCAGAACCGCCATTCATCCAACTACGTCAACATACCGATGAATCGGATAGAAGTACAAGCAATTCATTATCACGTGATCTTACGTTTAACACTGATCAAAAAGCTCAAATACTCACTATGCCAATCAGTTTATATCGTAGAAAATACCTTCAAAAAGTGAATCAATGGGTAAAAGATACTACTATCATTGATAATACTACTGATAAGAATACTAATTATTTAAATAATACACAAGTAACAAGTCAATCAACAACTCATATTGATCATCATCAACAACAACTAGATCCCGAAACTACTAACAATTTCATCAGTAGTTCTAATTATAACAATTGTTCAAAGTATTATTTACTTAAAAGTAATCATCAACTTGAAATGATACAATCGATGAGTAATTCAACACATTTCTTCTTCACATTGGCTAGTCAAATACAACCTGGTA